ACTCGTGAACACGCGTGCCCACTCGCAGCGTGGAACGGGTTCGTTTCGGCCGGCACTCCACGAGTGGTTGCACTCTCCGAGTTCGTTTCAGCGCTGACACCCCACGCGTGCATGCACTCGCTGCACCGAGAAAATCGGGAGTGCGCCAAAATGCAATCCCGTCATGCCTCGCTCCGGTGGGGCCGGCGAGGAGCGGGAGCAGACGACGAGGGTTCGTCTGCTACGATGTGTCGCGGAACCGAACGGAAAAAAAAAGAGTAATTTTCTGATAGAAATCGCGCCCCGCGGGCTACGAAATCAAACGCGAGCTTGAATTGTGAGCGTCTGCTATTTCACGAAGGAAGCAATTGACAACCCGAGATGTCTATCGCCATCCGTGTGCGGTTGAAAAATTTAACATTTGTCGACAAAACTCCCCCAGCAGAAACCTCCGACTGCCAAATAAGCGTCAGAGAAATCTAAAGATGGAGACTTTACCCCAGGATTGGGCAACATCATCATGTTTAACATTTACCTACGTCAGTTATCTTGCCCCGTCGTATTTTGTTCGAGAAAGCTCAAGTTCTCGACGCCCTCACCAAGGCTAATATCTAATCCACCTATAATGCCGATCCAAATCGAAAGTCTCAGTTTTGCTAGATATTCCAACAGGCTAGTTTTAAGCCGTACCCTTTCAGTGGTTCACGCGTAATACTATGCTCAAACGGATAAAGCTTCTGCTCGGACAGCATCATCAGTTTTCTTCAGTGTAAACGGTGATAAGAATTGAAAGAACGCAACCAGCTGCTTTGTAGACAGTTGCGGAAATTTACGCCGTCTGTAATTATCTCTACGGCAGCCTAGCTGCTTGAAGTCATCGCAACTATAAACTACAGGTTCAGTGATGTGATTGGCCTAAGCCATTTTGGAGCACCTTTTGGAGCAGCAAAAACAGTGTTTTGGAGCAGCGAAAGTGGCTTTTGGAGCAGATATTCTAAGCTAAAAATATTCGTTTTAAGTGGCGGACAAACGAAAGGCACCTCGTGCTGTGTTCTGACAGAACTCGCTGTTTGTGTTTTTACGGCTAAGACATCCCAGAAGTGTATTGTAGGCGTTGCCGAGCAATTCCAAAAAGAACGCATGCTACCGTTTTACTGGTTCCCGACGTGCCAGATTTTCATCAAAAGTAAGCAAACGTAAAACAATGGATTGCAAGCGTCCCGCTGGTGCCTCTGTCGTAGTCGTAGTATGCAAAATGCAACTGTCCAGCATGCGACAAAAAAAAAAATAATAAAACAGTCCAGCGGCGCGTGCTTGCTAGGCCGGAAGGCAAGACAAAGCTGAACACACAGAAAAAAAGAAAAAGAACCTGAGCGCATCGATGCAGGACATCGCGAGCCAGGGTCAAAAAGTTCCTGGAGCACTTTGTGCAACGACTGAACTCGAGACAAACAAGCGCGCTGTGCGGGTTCAGCGTGCAGACATTGCCTTCTTTGTTTTAGCTCACTTCTCTTCAGCAACTTTCTTTCACGGCATATTTTTCACGTACCGGGGTTCTCTCGAAAGAAAGCCTACCGAGAAAAACCTAGGTGATCAATATTTCGACAAGCAGTCATTGAGTTAAACAGGAATTTTTGTATTAGAGTATGATTTAAACAAAGACAGGAATGTCGATGAATAAGTTTAGGAAGCGCCATATCTGCAGCGACGTGGGGACGGCAACACCCGATGTCGCGCGACCACAGTAATTGTGGTAGCGCGAGCGTTTCAGCTCACAAAGTAACTCTCGCCGCGCAAAAACGTGGTTTTGTTTCACAGCATGACGACAATGCTGGCAACCGGCACACTAGCGTCGGAGCGTCCGCACACGCCCGCGTCTATCGTTGAAAAAATTAGAAAAAAGACGCGAGACGAGATTCCCGAAGCGACGAGAGCGCGAAACGCGAGACGGCGGGAAAAACTATACAACGGGAGACCGGATGGACGATTCACGCAGGGTATCTCTGTGTCAGGAGCCGCTTGCGCCACCTAGCTCACGCATGCCTAATAGACCGATCTCACCAAGCGTTCGACGCATGCGTGACGCCGCCATAACTGTAGTTCGTAGGAGGCAGACGCCAGTTCACGAGACAGCTCATGCCGCCTCGTGCTCTGCTTGCGCAGACCTCCAGCAGGGTTATCGCGCGTGCAGAAAGACTACAGCTCCCACGATGCACGTCGGCAGCGGTGGCATACTCAAACTAGCTGGTGAGATCGGTCTATTGCGGTTTTCAGTTTAGTTTCGGTTTTGAAAGGCGACCGAAATCGATCCTTTGGCGCAGGCTTGGCGCAGATTACCCATATTTTGGCAAAATGTAGAAGGATGTAGCAGGGTTAGCCCATAGGCGCAGTTTGGCGCAATCGGCGCAGCAATCACATCACTGCAGGTTGCAGCGACCAAAGTTTGTAGATAAACGTTGGTAGCGACTGCATTCTCGCATTTCCACGCATCACTCCGAACAGAGAGACGCTAGTTTCGGTTTGAAGTCGGTACCTTTACTACAACATAGGTGGCGGCAGCATCAGTCTTCTGCCAGAGCCGTTTATACTGAGAGAGTTTGGCCGATGGGCGGAGCTTGTTGGCCGCTAGAACCAGCGGATTTCGCGATAACACAATATGGCGTTACTTCTTTGTCTTGTTCATTCCTGTGAAATCGCGTAGAGTTCCTATGAGTCAGATCCACAATATGGCGGACGGAAGTAGTCATCCCCCGGTTGTCAGACTACGCTGCTGTGGTTGTCAGACTGCCAAAATCTCCTTAAGAAGGCCAAACTCTCTCAGTATAAACGGCTCTGTCTTCTGCACTAGGGAGGCTCAAGTGAGGGTGGGTGCAACTGCTAGATCGGCGGTCACGGGACATGGACGCCATTTAATTGCTAAATTTTGCTGGGAGTCTATGGGGCAAAGGGTCGTTTTCTTTCCTAACTCGGATCATAAATACCCATTAAGGTGCTTGAATAATTTACACAAGGTATAAATGATTACTTTTCCATAGCCACCAGTTTTGTTGCGATAGGTTAAGTATTTTTTTAACGCGAAAAATGGTAAATTCCGCCATCTTGGACGTTGCTGCTTGTCTGGCAACTTTGCTTTCTCCGCTCGACGTTTGCAATTCTCGGAGCGAGAAGGAAGCGAGAGAGGCTGCGCCAAGGCGCTCGTTGCTTGCAATGGGAGGCGAGAGGAGGAAAGGCGCATGGAGCAACAGAGTTGCAACAGAGCGGGCGCCTGCTCTCGTGCAGGCAACACTGGCGCATATCCTTTCTCGAATCCTCTCCCTCAGGCGCCGCCATTAAATTGCAAACGCTCTCCAGGTTTTGAGTTGCGCCCACGCTCACTACAGCCTCCCTATTCTGCACTCGGTGCATTTGGCGAGTTCGTTTGAGTCCAGTTTTCCGTGCAACACTCTGTGAGTGCGATGCATTCTGGGAGAGAACTCGAACGGTGCCAGTGCGTGTGAAACGAACTCGCCATTAGTTTAACAACTTCGAAAATTCGACTGCCGTCGAATTTCTCGATATGGAAAGTTCGCAAATTCGAAATCTTTCGAACCTTTCGAACCGCTTGATTCGATCATCGAACCTTCGGTTCGAAAAATGTTCGCGGCATCCCTATTCGGTACGCTGGCCTTGCCTAGCCGAAGGTTTAATTTATTTATTTGCTTTTCAGCGCGTTATCATCTTATTCGTGTGATCAGTAGATCCTTCATCTGCATATATTTACACACACACACACATACATACACACGCACACACTCACACGCGCGCATACATGTATATCCAAGGAAATGCTATGAAATTAGGGCACCTTTTTGGTATAACATTCCTATAATCTAAGAGCTCAGTGTACATTTTATTGCGTCTTTTCAATGTTCAGCACTTCAACTAAACTATTCAAGTCTCTGATTCTACCGGGCAACTACGAAAACGATGAGTGAGGTTAATTTTAGAAATTTTATTTTCAGTATTTTTACAGTGAAACGCTGAAAACAGATGCTTGCAGGCTAGTAAATATTAAAAACACATGGGCCACGGTAAAAAAAAAAAAAAGTCCTGGTCGCCAAGCCCTTTCTCGCCTAGTTGTTTTGCCCCAGTAGCCAGGACACTCCATCAAGGAAGGCGTTGATGTTGACTGTGAATTGGTGCCGTAAGTTCGACATGGCTGCCGCTCCCATTCCTGCTCTGGCGCTCATGCAGCTCCACTGTCGCGCCAGGCTCGCCTTGTAGGTGCTGATGGCGTCGTTGTTTGCCGCGCAACTTGGCTTGCTAGTGTTTGGCACTTCTCCGCTGTGGAGACGTGCCAAACACGTCTCCGTATAGGATGAAGCAATAAAACAAAAACGCAGTATGTGCCGTCACCGAGAGATAAAAAAAAAAATACAATGTGCACTGACAAATAAAAAAAATATGTGGCGCCATCTATTCAATATAGTGGTAACTACGATCGTAAACCACGAAGCAAACCCCCGCGGAGGCGGCCACACCAGTCCATTCGGAGACTACTCAAAGCCACTCCCGGCCCTTCCTCCCCTCTCGACCGCAATGCACGCTCGGCCGTAAAGCGACTATCGACCGAAATGACAGTCACCCCAAGACAGCATAGGACACAACAGAAAGGCAGGCAAAGTGCATTATTCCGGGTAAGATAATGTGTTTGACGAAAATTTGCGCAATATTTTTTTCAGTGAAAAAGAAAAAAAAAAAACAGAAAATAAACACTGCTATAAAATAAATTTAGAAGTCGGTGTTTCTTTGTTCTGGACGATTTTTATTTCCGACACCGGCAGATGTGTACTATTGGTGTTTTTCGGTTAAAACTGGAAAGTATAGAGGACTTTTTCGGTGGAAAAAAAAAAAGTGCATGCTCGAAAATATAAAAAAAAAAAACAGTGTTTTTCAGTTTTAACCGAATTTGTATTTTCTACACCGGCGGACGTTTATTGGTCTTTTTTCAATTAAAACCGGAAAGTATACAGCCTAATTATAATAACTCTATGGAAAAAACTGACAGGAATTTTCTCAGCTTCAGTTTTTTGTTTAAGTGCCAGTGTCTTACACAGGTTCTTACAACGTTCTCGTGACTTGGTATTGCTGTCTTCTGTATCCTAAAGATCTATATTGAAATTAATTAGATGGAGCCTGAGGTAATTATTGCCCCATATTTTCATTTCTTTTTTAAGTTGTTTATTTATAATACAAACTACATTAATACAAAATTTTATTTGCTTTAGGAAATAGAGTGGACCCCTGGGAATCATATTTAAGTTAATAAAAACGAATGAAGTCAACTACTGTCTCTAGCATCAACATTTCCTTTCATTGACACCAATCTTTTTGTTGGTGTCAATGAAGCCTCAAACCAATGTTAAATGGAGCAAGAACTGCAACAAAAAGCCCCCTGGTGATTTTTTTTGTTTTTTTTTTGTTTTTTAAGCATTGTAGGTCAATGTTTTTTACAGTGGAGAGCCAGCTCCTGTAAGAAGGCAGTGAATAACAGGAGGACTGAATGAAAGTGCACTTCATTTATTCAATTCCTCACACAAGACATGCAGACAGAGGAAAGCCCTAGACACTTCAAACTCAATCAGGGCTTAAAAGATAATAGTCACATTGACAATGCTCCCTTGCCACATAAATATTGACAGCTCTCAGTGCCCCCTACTCCCCCCCCCCCCCCCCCCCCCCAAAAAAAAAAAAAGTTTAAATGTAAGTTGCAAATACTTGCTTTCTTAGGTACAGGATTGCATAAGATTGTACACTTAAACTTCATATACAAAGTGATGCTTTATCCACATACATTTTCTTTTTGTAATCAAAAAGTTTTGTTCCAGAGCATAAGTTTTGCTGCATGACCAAATAAACAGCCTTTGAAATTAACAGCATCTCGGTCATTAGAAACTCAGAGCTAGCTTTCGTAGGGTGCCACTCAATGCAAGATTTTCAACATGAAGCCCTCCAAGGTACTATACAGTATAAAAGGGGAATACAGTAAAACCTCGTTAATTCAACCCCCACTAATTCGCAAATTCGGATAATTTGAACTGCTGATCCGGTCCCGTCAAACGTATGTATTAGTCAATGGCAGCAAACGCTCATTAATTTGGAGGGAATGCAGCCCACTATGGTTAATACGGACGAATTCAGCAGGTGGCGCTAGCTAATGTCCGTTCCAAAGGGTATGACCACTCTCCATCCGAGGTACACACATGGTTGTTCCGGCTTTCCCATGGTTCTTCGCTCTTCCGGTTCTCCGTGTTTCGCACCAGTTTTGCTCTGGATTGCCGTGCTTCAGTGCATCACTCTCCTGGCATGGAAGCGGCAGAAGCATAGCTGCAACGTAAAAAGGGTAGCACAAGTGACCGACGACCGGAATGGCAAAATCGCGACACGCGGGGCTATTGTTCCCGAGCGTGCCGATAGCAAGAGTGACAGTCACATTTTATGTCTCAACGCGGGGATCCTAAAGCCCGCCATTTTAACAGCTATCTTATCCCTCAATTTTTCGCCAGCCACCCCCCCCCGTTGAAAAATGCAACGTGACTGGCACTCTCGCTATCGGCGCACTCGGGAAAAATAGCGCTAGGTGTCGCGATTTTGCCTCTCCGATTGTTGGTCAGTTGTGCTACTCGTTTTCCGTTGCAGCTGTAGTAGGGTAAGAATTTAGCGACGAAAGTGGAAATACTGAGGGCCTTGAAGGACGGCGTCTCTCGACAAGTGATGGAAAGTTACGACGTCAAGAGAAGCAGTTTGGCCACGTACGTGAAAATTGAGGCCAATATCCTACGGGCTTTCGAGAGCGAAAAGTTCAACGCGAAAAGAAAGCGGTCGTGGAAGGTGGTGTACCCGAAACTAGAAGAGGCCTTGCTGTGCTATACTGTCAGCGCACGGGATGCGTAGCTCCGACAGTGCGAGTGCGGTGGAGCACTGGACCGTGCTAAGGAAAGTTGCCGTCTCCGCCCAAGTGTCGTCCAGAAAGCAGGCGGTAATAACATATTTCTTCTCAAAATAAAAGTATGTCACAGGGAAACGTTTTCGCGCAGTTTTCCTTGTCCTTTCGATATTTCGACTTTTGGATAATTCGGACATTTTTGCCGGTCCCATGAGATTTGAATTAACGAGGTTTTACTGTACAAAAGATGCCAAACTACAGCGTCTTTCAAATAGTGGCCACTCTTTAAATCGACCGCAAAAATCTGTTTCACCGATCACGCTATGATTTTGTACCGCGTTGCCCACAGGTGGTGAATTTTTTCTATATAATTTGCAAAGAGCAAACTTACTCGAGGAAAAATTAAAAGAAAATAAAAAGGCATAACTCCTATGGAAACACAGCGAAACCACCGGTCTTCAAACAATAGGGATCTGTTTGACCGGGGAGACAAGAGATGGTGCAAGCAGTCGCGACGCCAACTGCCGCCAACAAATGAGCATACGACGCCGAGAGCCAGCGTCATTAGTAGACAATCTTTTCAACTCAAAAGCAGCGTGCGTTCCGCAGGCGCCAACATTCACAGAACCAAAAACAGGCGTGGTAACAAGGAACTGCAAAGCAGACAACATCAGTACCGCAAAAAAGTAGTCAAAATAACCCGATAAACCATCTTTTAATCAATTAAATGTCCATTCAATGCTTTATTAGTAAGGATGATAAAATCATGCATTGGTAACTGAAATTGAAAAAGCTTGCACCGCTTTTGAGTCAAAAATATTGTCTGCCTTTTGACGCCGGCTCTTGGTGCCGTGTGCTCGTTCTTTGGCGCCAATTGGCATCACAACCACTTGTGCCATCTCTTGTCTTCCGTGCCAAATGGCACCCTATTGCTTCAAGACCGGTGACTTCGCTGCATTTCCATAGGAGTTAAGCCTTTTTATTTTTTTTACTTTTTCTGCAGGTAAGTTCGCTCTTTGCAAATTTTATTTAAAAAAAAAATGCACCACCTGTGGGCAACGCTGCACAAAATCGTACCGCGACAGGTTAAGAAACCGATTTTTGCGGTCAATTTAAAGAGCCTGGCCACTATTTGAGACACCCTGTATATCACTCGTGAAATGTGGCAGTATCCCGTTCTTCACACCCACGAGAAAAATAAGATTTCATATGAAAGAAAAAAAATTTTCTGAGAAATAGGAGATATGCTGAAGTGCTCCACAGATTTTATGAAAAATCTTTCTAGACACCATCGTAATTCAGTAAGTTGCATCAATCCCTTATTGATCAATGTTTGACCCTCACGGCTTTTTGCACATATGTGCATGCTGAAGGGATTCCAAGTCCCCACTCTATGAATGCTGTTCCAAAGGTAATATGTGTACATAGCCTCAAGTACATGAATTATTTGATGATCAACCAAAAGCAGTTTCTCTGTGCATTCCTTGTCCGAAGTTTTACATTTGTAGCAAAATTTACCCTTGTGACAACACTCATGACTATTCAGGGCAGGCTACCACGGAAACTTGTCTGTGCATGCGAGGCACTGAAAGGGCTTTCATCCTGTGTGGACTCCAAGGTGAGCTCCCAAGAGTTGCTTACGGGTGAATGCCATCGCACACGTCTTGCACTTGTATATCTTACCTTTGTAAACAATTGAACGAACACTAAAGGGAAACTTCAAATGAAACACTTTTTGATTTGAAGAGGCATTTGGATAGCTCTTTGGTGGTAATAGAAACTGTCTTTTTGGGGGACCTGCCATCTGAGCACTTGGGTGCTGTTCTTCAACTGAAATGTCACGGCTTTTGGATTTGTGGGGCATTTCACCTATGTGAGTCATTCGATGAGCCTTCAAGCTAGACCTCCAGTAAAACGCTCTCGAGCAGATGGAGCATTTGAACGGCTTCTTGTGCACGCTAACCGCCTCGAGATCATCTAAGCAATGTTTATCAGCATGTGCTTCACTACAGGTATTACATCTGCAGGATTTTTCACGTTTGAGAGCCTTTTCATGCTTCAAGTGACACTCAAGACGGAATGCTTTGGAACATGTGATGCATCGGTAAGTCATTGTACCTTGGTGAAACAATTCATGCTGCATCAAGCTGGCCTTCAATCGAAAGGCTTTTGGACATGTGCGGCATCGGTATGGCCTTTCACGTTTGTGAACTCTTTGATGACTACTCAAGCTAGACTTCCACTGAAACACTTTTGGACAAGTAGGGCACTTGAAGAGTAATGCATTAGAGTGCTTCACTTGGTGAACCGTGAAGTTGACCTTCCACTTGAATCTTCTGCCACAGATATCACATTCATAGGGTTTTTCACTTGAGTGTATGCTCTTGTGAAGATTCAACTGAGACTTCCATCGGAACACTTTCGGGCAAGCCGAGCATTTCAAGGGCTCTCTACCCATGTGAACAACTCCATGAGCTTCCAGCTGCCCTTTCTCTGTAAACACTTTGCAACAAGAGCTGCACTTGAAGGGGGGTCCATCGTCGCGTATCTTTTTGTGCCTCTCTGAGGACTTCTTAGTACGGTGAACTCTAGCATGAGAATCCAGACGAGACCTTTGTCGGAATGCTTTAGGGCAGATGGGACATGTAAAGGGCCTTGAGTCCGAATGAGTCTCCACGTGAACCTTTAAGCTGTGCCCGCTGGTGAATGCCTTCTGGCAGATGCTACACTTAAAAGGCCTTGCTCCCGTGTGACTCCTCACATGGATGTCCAAGCTGAACCTTTTGACATATGTCTTTGGGCAGACGCTGCACTTGTAAGGCCTTTCACCCGTGTGAATTCTCAAGTGAACCATTAAGCTGGACCTGCCGGCAAACGCCCTCTGGCAGACGTTACACTTGAAAGGCTTTGCACCCGTGTGAGTTCTCACATGATAATCTAAGCTGGATTTGAAAGTAAATGCCCTCTGGCAGTAATTGCACTTGAAGGGCTTCTCTCCTGTGTGTATTCTTTCGTGCTCGGTGACAGTGTTTCTGGAGGCGCTGGAGTAAGGGCAGAAACGGCACTCGTGCCTCATACTCCCACATTTCCACGTCTTCCGGCGTTTCTCATCCAATTGGCCTTGGGAAAAGGTTAGGCTGCTGCTCTTGACACGGTCGGTGCTCTTATCTTCCCCATCAACCAGATCTGTTGAAGACACAGGGGATAAATTTTGTGTTCACATAATAAACAAAAAAAAAGGAGGAAGGAGAACTTGTAGACTCCTAGGGGTATTCACACGAGGGAGCTTTCATGGGGAGGGATGTGTTTGACGTCAGAGGGACTCCCTTCCCAGCTCCAGTATTCATTCGGACGGACACGGACGGTGGATGGCCAAGAAGGATATCAGTGATAGTGCACAAATTTATGATCTCGACAACGAGGCTCGGTGCACACTGATGGGAGTAGAAAAACGGAGGCATATGTAAAGCGGCAACACGCAATTATGGCAACGGCACTGTTAGGTACAATGACTATAAACTGTTTTGCGCTAAGAAAAGGTGATGGGTGAAAGAGTGTATGCAACACAAAGAATGTGGATTTTAAAACCAGTTCTATGAAGAGCTTATTGAGGGCAGCATTGAAGAATATTAAGGACTTCTTCGTGGAAACGTAAAAGAAACGTTCAGTGAGCCAACGACCTGCGGAAGCCCCAACAAGTTAGCGGATCCCGATGCCACCGCTGGTATTCTGCAGAGCACTATCTGTAAAATATAGGGGTGTGCGAATACTCGAATATACGAATTAGAATCGAATAGGAACTTGCCGAATAATTCGATTCGCGAATCGAATTCCTAGTATTCGGTCACTTGAATACTCTATACATTTGTCCAAAGACGCGCGGTCGGCACGGAGCTGACTAGAGAGTCATTTTTCCTCTCGACGATAGTGCCGTGATGTTAGACAGACCATGCGAGAAACACCTATTGGTCCTAATATTCCACAAAAATCTAATGCACAGCTTAGAAAAAAGAAAAGTAACGAACGCCACAAACTTCTTAGATTGCAGATTTACTCATGACTGTGACAATATAATCTTGAATCATAACCGAAACATCCCGTTTGCCCCGCTTCCAGAGAGGAATTGTTGGAAGGCCACAATTCTGGCGCCAGGCCTAATTCTTTTCACTAGTAAAGCCCCTCATTTCAAATTGAAGAGTCGAAGTAGAACACACTTGCCACCTCGAAGAAATCGGTGACTTCAGGATCACAAAAAGAAAATCACGTTAACCACGCCAATGAAACCAGCAGAGTTTTCGTCATTCTTTCGGAACCGCAAGCCGCAAATTCCGATTTGGAACGAAACGGAACGGAAATATAGTGAGCCTAGATTTGAGAGGGTTTCCAACCGTTCGATAGCCGCGTTTGAATTACGAGCTGAGAGAAAGTGACGAAAAGACGAAAGCGTCAATCGGGCAGGCAGGGGTCGCTCTTCCATTTGCTCACCTTCTTTCCACACAACTACACAACACATGCACACTTACGACCAATCTGCGCAGGAGCCATCTCCGTGGTATCAGTTTCGCTTGCTTCCTCTTTTAAATCTAGGCTCTCTAAAACAGGACAGATGGACGGAGGAATAGATGCATAGCGGCAGTTGGACGGTGACCTGCGCCACATAACCACATGTTTTTTTTTTTCTTACTTCAGATTATATGTTTTTAAACCTGTTTATTCAAATTTAACACCTACCGTAAAATCCTGAAATAGCGCCCACACTCGATAGATCGCCCACTCCGCTTTTATGTTCGAACACGTGTTTCCCTCGAATACTGATAGGTCGCCCACCTTCCAAAAATAGCGATGCCCGAAGGTTGAGAAAGGTGCCGGAGGGTAGGGGAGAAGGTTTGGAAAGCCTAGGATTCCCTTCACAAAAAGAAGAGGCCACACACAATAAGGGAGATAAGATAACGAAAGGAACCCGGAAAGCGGTCAAGGTCACTTATTGAATGACATCAGGAAAGCGTTGAAGGTCACTTAGTGATTGTCGTCAGATCGCCCGAGAACCCCAGAAAATCTTTCGACCAGCAAACTGTGAAGACGTTTCTTGTGTACACTCGGGATGAGGTCCAGCTATACCATCCAGAAGAAAGTGGAAGTCGTGGAATGGCACCGCAAGAACGGAGCTAACGTGAGCAAGACTGCGCGCCATTTCGAAGTTGACCGGAAGCGTGTACGGGAATGGAATACGAGCTACCAAGTACTTCTACAACAATGCCATGGAACGAACAAGTTGAAGAGAGCAATAGGTAGGGGACGACCCGTTTTTAGTGAAGAAATCGACGACGCACTGATGGACTTCCTGGAGACTGAGAGATCCGCCGGTCGAGCAGTCAGCAATCGCCTGCTTCAAGAGCATGTGCAGAAACTGGCAGAACAGACGGGCCTAGGAAACTTCCAAGCGTCATGCCAGTACATAGCTAACTGGAAGAAGCGATTTAATGTGTCTATGCGGGTGGGGACCAACGAAAGTCAGAAGCTGCCTGCCGACTACGTTGAAGCAATTACGGTGTTCCGAAAGGCTGTGTCAACTCTGCGCCTGGAGCACAACTACTCGGACTACAACATAGCCAACATGGATCAGACTATGGTCCGGATGGATTGCCCTGCTGCGAGAACCAACAATGCTGTCGGCGAGTCGAGTATTCGCATCGCCAACACCGGCTGTGCTCGGCGAGGGATGACGGTGGCCTTGTGCGCGACGGCAGCGGGCATCAAGCTACCTGCTTTGATCGTACTGAAGAAGCCAACCGGCCGGATTGCCCCCAGAGTACTCTTTTCTCTAAGGATTCCAGGTATGTTGTAATTAATCACCATTCAGGGTATAAATGTCGAAACAAAGCCTTAGAAACACGTAAAAATAAGGCTGACAGCATTTTTTTTTTTTTTTTTTTTAATAGAGCGACTGTTGCGTCATCCATTGACAAAACTCCACAGCCCGTTTTGTTTTGTATCGCCCCATTTCCGAAAGATGGCGTAGCCGTTCTGGCCGGCGCCATCTTGAGCGCACGAGCAGTTGGCGCGTGACTTGCTGGCTTTCCGAAGCTTACTCACTTGCGCGTGCTTCGGCGCTCGGCCATAAAATCGGGCAGTTTGCATATCTTCACTCATCGGCGTAGCATGTGTAATGTGCGTTTGGGGCCCGAACTGTTATTTCATGTTATACTTGTTGTACTTGCAGCAAATGTGCGAGTTACTTCTTCCAAGAACGGTTGGATGACCTCTCCCGTCCTACTGGAGTGGACTAGGAGAGTTTGGGGCCCGAACGCCGACGACGTGAGGAGACTGCTCATACTGGACCAAGCACCCATACACAAGACAGAGGCAGCCCGAGAAGCGCTCGACGCAAAAGACACCGACGTCGTCTTGATACCGGGCGGTTGCACCTCCATTTTGCAACCCGCGGACGTCTCATGGATGAAGCCCTTCAAGGACGCGCTGCGTGGAGTTTGGGCATCGTTCTCCCGGAAAGGTTCGGTGACTCCAAAGGGCAACCTTCGCAAGCCGTCGCGTCAAGAGGTTGTGGACTTGGTGGCTCAGGCGTGGGCCTCCGTCTCCGAGGATACCGTGCGGAGTTCGTTCAAACGGTGCGGAATATCCCCAAGGCTCGATGGTTCCGAGGACGGCGAGCTCAACGACCGTTTGGCGTCGGTAACCAATGGACCCGAGGATCCCGAGAGCCTCATTGACGAGGCGTTAGATTTAATCTTCGATAGCGAAAGCGATGTGTCGTTTGACGGTTTCAGCGATGAGAGCTAGGGAAAGAAAAACCCACGCTGCTTTGGCGCACGCGTTAGTCGATTTTTGTTTGTGATTTTGGTTATTAAATACTGAAAGATCGCCCACCCCACTTTTTTGGCCAATTATCTACAGCGAAAAGGGGGGCGTTAATTCAGGATTTTACGGTATCTGTTTATTTATATAAAATAAAATCCCGGGTGCCCTTTTTCTTCCTTAAAATTGAGATCAAATATCGCAAAATGCCCCTTGTCTGAGATATACAAATATAATAAAAAGGACATTTCGCGGTGTTAGGTTGTGCTTTTAACGAGAAAAAAAGACAGGCGTAGTTGTAACTTCTTTTTTTTTTTTTGTGACGCTTAGGGTAGATAGATTGTTTGCGCCATAAAATTGGATCTTTAGTGCCCAACGTCCATCAGCAGCTGCTTTTCTTTTTTTTTCACCACAACTTCTATACATTTCGGCTTTTGTTCCATAAGAGATGCATATTCTGCACCAGGTGCATGCTCTGCACATATAGTAATCTCATTCACAGTACACTTTAATAAATTCCTACAAATAAAATCACTATTGAATATTCAATTCGATATTCGGCTTTTTTTTCTTAATTCGATTCGGTATTCGATTTGATAACAACTATTCGGTTTTCGCACAGCCCTAGTAAAATCGCCAGACATGCGAACAAGAAATTGCCAATTGCAGGGAACCCCATCTTGGGAAGGTTAGTGCAGAAAAACTTCCAGCGTCCCCCAGAAATGTCTACATCGGCGTATCACCGCGTGGAAGGCGTGAGTGACCAAATGATGTGCATCTCGGGGAGCAAAAAGGGAGGGGTTTCTCTCCCGTGTGAATACCCCTGTACAGGAGACGTAAAAAGACTCCAAAGGCCATTATATGCCACGGTCAACTGAACGAATGTTGCCTCTGGTAAGTGCAATAACACAAGTAGAGTTGAACCTTAATATGACAAACTTCGATGTGCCAAAAGTCTTTATTTAACAAAGTAGTTCCTTTTTCTTACCTTTATCTTTCTATGAAACTTAGTGCATTTCTAGCATCAATGTAATGAGCTATGGTATGCGGCTATTTCAATATAGCTAGTATGTACGAGCACCGTAACTAAACACAATCTAAATTAACTTTGTGATTGAATTAAGGTATTAAAAGAAGTTTAATTATAAGCTTGCACATTGCTTGTTCAGCAGGACAAGCCTTTCAATGTAGCCAGGCATGCGGCGTGAAATGTGAGGCGTCGGCAAGGGCAGATGTAGAGTGCACCCCACGAAATTGCCAGAATATGCGGAGCTAGGAATTAGTCCACCACTAGAAATGCAGCCATCACAGTTGCAGACAGTGTCATCTAGTAGAACACTGGCAAGATGCTTTGCACATGTGAGCAAACAAAGCTTTGTCCATATTGTTTACTCACAGACTCTGTCACCATCGTGTGGGGTGGAATACGAAAAAGTTCAAATTGACTTCCACCCGAAATTAAGCAAAGCTTGCACCCTTTAGGCAAATGGTGGCCACTGAAAACACTCTGCCTCATTTGGGATTCAATCCTTAGACATCTCCAAGACTGGCAAATTGCTCTACCAACTGAGTTAACCAGGAGCGAACGGTCAGTAGAGCAGACGGATGTTAACAGTTGCCACCAGTCATGATCAGGGTGAGATCTGACGTTAATGATTGATATCAAAATTCTCAGGGAAAGTTCCCGAGGTGGAGAAGATTGATGCGGGAATAAATTGACTTCCACTCAAGGAAATCATCTCCACTCTTTTGTGCAAATATGTGATTCACCCCTACAAAGATGGAAGGGGCACAGGATCTTGCCTTCAATGAGGTGGCGCAGGGGACCTTCCTTGCAGGGTCCCTCCAGCTGCACTTGCAACGACAACAGTGATTCCAAGGGCTCAAAGCAGGAGCCATCGTCGATCCGAAGAGTGACAAACTCGTCTGGCTCTGTTCAAAAAGAAGCACAGACGAATCCAAAGACTCATTTATTGAGGTCTACAAAACATTACTAAAACGTCTACTGGTCTTAAAAATTTCGATTCATGAGGTAAACTTCTGGAAAATTTAATGTTAGGTACTTATTTCATCGCGCTCTCCCCCAAAATCATGATGGAGGCAACCAACAGAATCCAAGAACTTGCACAGCATTTTGTCTCGGTGATTGCTTGATGACAGCTAGTCTTTACATCGCTTGCAGAAAAACTGAAGTTGGCTTTGAGTGAGGGCCTCCTCGACAGTTGCACAAGCTTGCTTAGTAACCTTTTCTAAAGCGATAGCTTTTTGGGTAACACTTTGCAGAGATTTCGACTTTGTCTCTCATCGTCACCGCAGCCCGAAGAAAGAAAAAACCCCTTCTTCTCTCCCCTCTTGCCGTGAGGAGAGAGAAGTCGGGATGCGACGTCGGCCGTGCCTCGCGAAGAAAGCGAGAGCAGACAACATTTATTGGCGGGGCGTCCAGGCGCCCCGCCAATAAATGCGTGTTGCATGGAGAATGTCCATGTTGTCTGCTTTAAAAGAATTCTTTTCAAACATTCCTCGCGTTATGCGAAATCTCGCTTTGGCAGAATCCAGTTGGATACATGTAATGTTGAATGGTTTTAGAAACTTCCACCATGCTTACCCGCTTACTTTTTGGATCACTGGTGGCAGTCGTCAGTGGCATCCACGACACCGACCACGACGGCTTTGAGAATAAAGGCCCGTTCACACTCTTGCGACTGCTTGCGACCTCTTAAACCTGGGTTCCTTAAAACTTCTTAAACCAGAGAACACACCGGCGCCATCTATTGGGAAGCATGTAAACTCGGCGGTCCGGCATATATTTTTTTTATTTCTCGCGCAATATCCTTTCTTTTTTGGCTCGAAAAACTTTTGTCAATGTTATAAACGAGCCTTTCTATGGGTATTACGCACATTTGACCTCGGAAATCCCGCAAAACCTTCGCTTTTGTGAAATGCAGTTCTAGGGTCACCGCATAGATGGCGCCACAATGTCAGTGTGTCCCCTCATTCTAGAAACATTTAAGAAGTTGTAAGAGATCTCGTCTCTCTCAGTCGTACTCGGTCGCAAGAGTGTGAACGGGCCTTTAACCACGTCGCGCCTTTGTCCTCAGGTGCATGACGGCACCATTCCACCCGCATTGTCTGACCGTGCTACAGCTGCTGCTTTGTTTCTTTGCACAACTTGGGCGAAAAAAACTTCTTTTCTGTTTTTGCTCGATTTCTTTAGCTTTTGTGTCCACTTACATTTCCTCCTATTGAGGCAGCTTAGTTTTCACTTTTAACACTTTCAGGATTCTTTTTTTCTTGCTTCCAGCCAAAGTTTCCTCTGCATTTTTGTGCTTGTATTGTCTCAAGTGTTTTCACTTGTAGTAGTCATCATCTGCTAGCCCCCAAATATTTGAGGGCCGATGTGAAAAAATATACCTTCAGCTCATACACCCCTTAAACATTTTTAGTTTTTGAGAAATTCTTACTTCAACTGCTTAATTGGTGTCTTCAGAATCAAATGTGTTGCCTTCAAAATCATATTTCTAGCCACAAACAGAAAAGGAGCAAAAATTTAAAATAATTCAGTGTTGCCATCTGTTGGCAGAGTTGCAAACAAAGCTATGAACGAGCCTGGTTCATCCAAAACAGTTGAGTGCTTGAAATGGGAACAGCAGACGAGAGCACGGAAAGGGGGGGGGACGCTACACTTTGGTATTATTGCAAACAAATTTAGAAGCATATGTTTTTAAAAAAAAAAAAAAATTACTGGGACCCTCCAAAAATTTATTGTTTTCCCTGGGTAAGGAAAGAGCTAACTGCTAGAGCAACACTTAGGCAGACTGTGTACTTTCAATTGGAACATTTTCATTTGGCAGTGCATAAGTGCGATTCGTTTTCCTTCCCTAACACTGCATTTTCGTTTTACATCTATGAAGCTGAATGACTCCAAGTGCTTGCAGGTGCCAGCCTTTGAGAGGCCGGTCTTGGTGACCCACCAAAAACAGATTGTAACAATCACTAAAAGGCAGGGATAGAAGAAGGGTCAGTTTTTGACATTCCCACTTCGATGACGCCAAGAGCAAAAATAGGAGAACTTGCCTCCCTTCACGACAGCAGTGGCTGCCTCAACTCCGTTCACAGGCCTGAGAGGAGAGGACGGGCCACATGCACCTTCACAGTCCAAGCCCTTGATTCTCAGAACAGCAGATGCATCATCTGTTTCTGCTGGGACATATGCCAAACAAAATCTTTGTCATTGCTATTCAACATGCACTAATAGTTTTTCATTGCTATTCAACATGCACTAATGCTAGAACTCTAGTATCCAGTCCCTTGGAGTTGACAAGAGCTGAGCACTATCCTAGCTTAACGGGGCCCTAAACAGGAATTTGAAATTGTTTTTTTAAGGCACAAACTCAACCTCTATGCGCTGAATATTGTAGAAAACCCAGAACTAGATTCATGCAGAACCTTTTTCCTCCCATTAAAAACCTTCCCAAGCCTCGAGTCATGCCTCTTCTCTGAGATATGTCTCACAAAATGGGGTGTTTTGCAATGTTTCATATCCCCGAGCGATTTTTTGGACGCCGTAAATTCTGACTTGCTCATTATTTCAGACATCGAATAAGTACAAAAGTACTTATTCGCGCAAATTTTAAAAAAATAAGAAAGAACTCGTAACAAGTACAGTCGGCTGAACACATAACAAGCCAAGGTGTTCTTAATATCACAACTATTTCATTTTTGTTGGCGGTAGAATGCCTTGGTTCGATTGTAAGTCAAACCCCCACTTCATATTGTCAAACATTTATTGGGTCGACCTGCACTTGCATAAATATGGTGCTTGCCCTGTTCAGATGTCGAAATCCATGATGGCGGCCGAAAAAATTAAAGGGAGGTGCATTGGTGGATCCTTAGAGAATGCGTTAGCATGGCCCTTGGGAAACACCACCCACGCCCCCTTTGGGAAACGCTAACACTGACCCCTTCACTTTTCTGTTTTGGCTTTCTCTTTTGCTTCTTCTATTTTTTGCTGCCTCTTTTTGGCTTTGTTACGGTGTCGGTGTTGCTGTTTCCTAAAGGGGGACGTGTTTGGCAAGGGTTATGCTAACGCATTCTCTAAGGATCCACCAATGCCCCTCCCTTTAATTTTTTCTGGCTTCTGTTGCACGCAGACCTGCGTCAACTTGCCGCTTCTTGCGCCACCTTTCGGCCAGCCGAGCTAGGCGCTGCTTCTGCTCCTCCGCCTCGTTCGCCAGCCTTGCACGCTTAGTGGCGTCACCCGCTGTCCAACACTGCTTTCATTGTTTTCTCACAGGCACATTGGCTTACACCCAGTGACATCGCCTCGCTCTCGCCTTTGTCCTTCACTACTCTCCTCCTCTCTACACGGCTCGCTTCCCTTTCCACTGCTTTGTCCCCAGACGGACGGCGTCAGTTTTGCAGTGTCATGTAAGTACTAATACTACAGTCGCCGACCGATTATTCAAACTTCGCAGGGACCGAGAAAACGTCCAAATAATAGAGCAGTCCGAAAAATCAGCAGATTGAACAACTTGCCTTTGTTACTTCCAAGTGGGCTTAAAAAGGCCAGAAATAGTGCCTTGTTTCAGGTTACGCCTCCGTTCGCGTTCGGCAACTTTCTGTTAGCTTGAGAATCACTGCCTTCTTTTCTAGCGTTATAGTCGAGTACTTTCTGCACTTCTTAACAACAGATGTGGCGGCAGAACAACAGATAGGGCCATGACGTCCAAGCCAGCGCTGCCCGAACGAGATAAGAAGCGCAAATCCACGAGCACAAAATTGCGATTGGCAACGCAAAGGAACGGAAAAACAAAGCAAAATGATAATAATGATGATGATGATGACGTGCACCTAAATGGGAAAAAAAGCGGTAGCATAGTGTCACCTAGCGGTAGGACTCAGGAGTACTCAAGTAGCGCTGCCAAACCAAGCCAATCCATTTGCAGCAAACATAGAATTCAAAATAGCCACTTCTCGATGGTGTTTTCGCCGATCGCTCACGACGATTTTGTCCGAATATTCAAACTTTTGGACTTCAAGCTGTCCGAAACATTGGTCGTGAATGTGCACTATTAGGGGCGAAGCTCCTTAGGGTCTAGCCTTGTCCGGCGTCTGTGCTCACATTAATTGCCATCCCATCTGTCTTCTTAAAAAGTTAAAAATGTTTGCGCAGTCGACAGGATTCGAACCTGTGCAGGGAGACCCCAATGGATTTCTAGTCCATTGCCTTAAGGGCGGACATGGGCCTAAAGTTAAATTTTTTTTGAAAAAATTCATTTTTTAATTTTAAGGTTTTCAGTTTTAGAAACTAATTATACACCCTTACACCAAATTTGATAACCATATGCCAAATAGTTACATTATTATAAAATATTTTCAACACATTGTGAGGCAGTAACAAAGTAAAGGAGTTCAATGTTTGAATGCATTTTTCTCAGTTCCACTTTTTGCTGCAAATTTCATATGAAGGAATCTTTTGTTCGAAAGTGAAAGTATTCTGATACCACAATCAAGATGTTTCTGAACTGAAATTTACTCAGGAATCGGGCTATCTACTTTATTTTGGTTTAGGTTGAAGTCCTCAGTGATAAAAAACTAAGTTTTCAAAAATTGACAGAGGACAGATATGCATCTCGTAGTTTGAGGTAATAACTCTTCCTGAAATATTTACATTTAAGTTATTGAAAGTAGATAGCCCGAGGTTCCATATCTCCCACTTTATATTCAAGCAGTCAAAATGATGCTTAATAGCTTGATTTGCACATCATAGATTTCTTAATGAAATGTGACACATCATCTTATGCAGGTATGTAAATTTGTCCTAAAGAGCTGAAGGTTTGCACAGTACACCCACATCTGAAGCTAAGTCTCCCCTGCAAATTTCATTCCAATCACTTGTGTAGTTCAAAAGTTTGACCTCTAGCCAGTGTCCCCCCTTAACCACTCGGCCACGTCTGCGGGACGAGTAGGGGGCTCTGAGATGTGGTAGTACCTCAAGAGCTGGGGATGTCATGGATGAAACGTTGCATCTAGCCGCTCAATGTCTACACAGGAGAGGGCGCTGCGGTCAAATGCGTATATAATCGCATTAAACTTTGCATGGATTGGCTCAACATCTATAGACGAGAGGGCGCTACGGTCAAATGCTCAAATGTGTATACACCAACTCATGTTTACAAACAAACCGGAGCACCCGGAGCGCCCCTAGCGGACGCCACCGGCGCCGCGCATGCGCGATGGGGGTGTGGGCAAAAAGCTCGCCGTCGCCCATAAACAAACCATTTAAATGCGGTGCTGTCGGCGGCGGCGTGAGTCCCCGCGCTCTTTTTCGCGTTGGAATTGTTGATTCTACGTCCTCCTAACGATGTCTGACTACTTGAGCAGCGTCAGCGAAATTCACGAGGCTCGTTACACCGCAAAACTTCGCGTCAATAATGTGACATGCGGCGATTCATTCCGCGTGGATTCCGCAAAATGTACGCTAAAGCCTCATTCGCATGATGAGATCTCGCTCGCAATTTTCAGTCGCAACGTCGCTCGGACTGCAAAAGCGTGAACCGCAGCCGAGATGGTCGACATCAATATTGAAAATCTAAAGCAAAATCGGACCATGTGAATCAGGCCTAGCAAGTCGGTGATGGTCACTGGTAACAATGATCAACATCTCCTTGTATCTGCTGTTTACATCGAGCCTGCTTACCAACCTTCAAATTTAAGTCTTTTGAGGCGTGCACTTACTTCTTATCGCAAGTACCGGGCCAAGATATGGTCTACGGGCCGGCGTCGTCTAAGAGAGCAGACGACAAGCAGACGACAAGCAGACGACAATTCGAACGATCAGGTGGCCGTTTAAACTTGAAGACGCACTGAACGTGGTCAGCACAACTTGGCGGTTTTCTGGCGTTCATGTTGGAACAAAACAAATAAATCTGATGACCACAAGTATCCGTGAATTCAACCCAAAGTGCTTCCCGCCCAAGCAATCGTTGTCCGACGGCGTCTGCTTTTCCCTTTTCACTGCACATATCCATATTCTCGGACGAACCGAGCACGTGAAAACTGACCTTCAAACCTTTCTCGACACTTTTGGCACGGCCCCAGTCGCGGCGTTTTGAGGAGAAGGCAAGTTTTTGTCTCTTTCCTTTCAAAGCAACGCAGGAATACACGTCTAGCATGGGGACTTCTGCCCACAGCTCCAGACCGGAAGTGCGACCGACGCGCCACCACCGCGCCGTGACGTAACAGAGATGAGTTCGTGTATATAACCACGTTCCATACCACACATTCTCTTTCTGACATGGATGAAAATGAACGAAAAGCTCAACATGCTGCGACGCAGCGTATCAGCACCACCAGAGCTTCGCCCCAATCAACACCATTCACCACGAGGAGATGCGGTCATTTTCTTTCTATGGGGTAAGTCACGGTTCCACCTTCAGGTCCGAATCATCGGAGTCCAAAAAAACAGTCGGCGACTGTAATGCATTAATAAACAAAATGCTTGCGTACAGATAAAAATGTGTCACGAGGCAAAAAAATACTGTCGAGACCGGTTATACCGAATTCAACGGGAATCGTAAATCACTTCGCTGCATCCGCTATTTTGTTATAACCGACCGGTTGTGACGAACTGCGAAAGGGAATAAGGAATCGTGATCACTTCATTGTAGCTGCTATTTCGTTATAACTGACTACGTTTTAACCGATTTCGACAGTACACGAAAAAGCATAGAAGGAGTATAGAGGCTTGCCTTGTCCCGGGCACAGAGGAGTGTCTTCCCAGTGTCTTTCCAGCTGCACCGGAGAAGGCAATGCGGAGCCAAGGGCACCGGAGCCCGAGCCTTCGTCAATTCGAAGGGCGGCAAACTCGTCCGGGTCTGTCAAAACGGAAACACGAGACATCAGCCCCCTTTATCTCCCAAAAAGGCTTTTCGTTTTCTCGGCTTTCAAAAACTTTTCGATAAAGCAGCGTCCACGCTTCTTCGTCTAAACTGGACTCAAAACGCACCAAGCTGGGAGCATGAAAATGATGCTATGGTTACTGACAAGCTGAGAACAGCAGGGAGGAGCTTCGGATAAGGGGTGTGGTTCCTAATAAAAAAAAAAGGAGCCTTACAGACAGTTCAGTATTTGTTACAACTAAACGCGAAGCTGAAGATAAAGATTTTTACATATTAAGCTTCAGAGGTTTGCTTTTTCGAGGATGGCTCAAGCTCAGGGCTTTTCACTTCTCTTTGACTTTGACAAAACCGGCTCAGGGGCTACCTTTCAAGCTCGAAACCTCAGTTATTATTGGGCCCCACTACTTTCTAACACTAGCAGTGATGTTCCCGACGCTGACCAGAGAATGTGCAGCAGTGAAGCAGTGTACTGCTAGCCGGATATGGAAAGCTTTGCGTCTTAATCTAATCCCACACCAACACCACTACAAAGCCTCGCACTAGTATCTGCTCCAAAATGAGGTGAACTAGCACTGCCCGCATAATCTCCAGGGTAGGGCCGAAAGAGCAACTTGCCCTCCTTCGGGACAACTGCAGTCTTCTGGACCTCGTTCGGGGGCTCGAGGGAAGTGCACGGGCCGCAAGCATTTTCCCAATCCGAGGCCTTGCAGGGTGAAGCGTCGGGTGTATCCCCTGGCTCTGTCAAAGAGAATGTGCAAAATATAGACCTTTTTCGGCCTCCGTCGCATGGGCGCTGTCATCTTGAAACCACATGACGCGGCTGCCACTACAGTTGGTGGCAGGGTGAGAGTCAAAAGGAAGCTCCTCCCACCTTTTTCCACTTTAATGGAGTGAACACTGGAAAGGAAGCAACCTCCTCTCCAACATGCTCTGCTAAAGTGGAAAGGGGTGGAGGAGGTTGCTTCAACTCGTCATTCCGCTCTACTTTACGCGCTTTGCCGGATGCGTTGAGTTCGTGTTTTAGAGCGCAGCTGTTAGGAACCCATTTCCGGCTTGACCGGAGTAACCGCGCACGTTGCATTATTAGAATAATGCAAGTGGCCATAACCACACGTTGCATTATGGGAAAATTTTGCTAAATTTCCCCGCTAAATTTAGCGGAAAAAATTGCCCACTAAATTTAGCGGAAAAATTTCCCCGCTATATTTAGCGTGGGAATTTGCCGGGGAATTGTCCCACAATTTCCCGGAAAATTCCCCTCCGTGCCCTCCCCTTCTCCTTCTCAAGAGCTGCACTCTAATTCAGCATTACAGAGAATTGTAAACTTCTCATTTTTTTTTGTGCATACCAGTCTTTACTCAGAGTTAAGACGAGCCGGTGCTCGAGAAGTCAGCTCGTCGGCGTACGAAATGGCCCCGCCAGACTCTGCCAGATGGCTCCAAAGAACAAACAATTTAAGTAAACTTGGGTTTAAGCACCCCAAATACGTCCCAGGTCACCTGTACCAAGCTCCATCGTCGACAAAACCACTTACCCTGCTTGTGCGTTTCACCAGCGCCAAAAATAATGCCAACAACTAAGCATCTGCATGCAAAAAGATCCGAAATGTGGTACATGTTGTTCATCGACATGGCGAAACAAAGTTTACCGGGAGCAAAAAAGACTTTTGTGACACCGCCCTGCCAGTAAGTTCGCCCTCGGTTGTACAGCTAGCCGACCGTGCACAAGCCGTCGGGAGAAGACAACGATATAAACACGACGGCAGAGCGACTGCCAGATCGGAGGCATTCGGAAGCATGTCCTTTTTTTGTCGCGACTACAGTCTAAGCTCAGTATAACAGACGTTGATTTAGACCAAGATTTTGGTCTGTTGTAAGAGGAGTATATGTTGTATGCAGATATGAAGTTGGGTCAATGGTATGTAGAGAAAAACCAACCGAACTTCACAAATTGGTATGTTATATCTAGGGTTCGGAGTTTCCGGTTTAAACCGATAAAAACGGATAAAAGTATGCCGAATCCATTTCCGGAAATTCGGTTTTAACCGAAAAAGGTTAGTTTGCAGGTTCGGCGTTTTCAGTTTAAACCGATAAAAGTATGTCTAATCCGTTTTCTAAAATTCGATTTTTGCCGAAAAAGGTCAGTTTTTTAGGGCCGCGTCGAGGTGGGTGCGGGACGGTGGAGGGGCTTTGCAAGGTTTGACATTGTGTGACGTCTTCGTGATTGCCCCCTTCCAATGTTCAAAATGCAACAAAAGAGGTCTTGGATTGTCCTTCGCGGGACATCTGTGTCGTTTCTGTGACCGGGCTTTGTGTGTCAAGTTCCCGGTCCCCCCAAAAAAGTTTGGATGTGGGCTAGTACAGTATAGACCACTTACAACGTAACCGCTTATAGTGCAGGACCGGGTATAACGCGGTTTTTTTAAACCACCGGTTCACCTCCCATAGAACTCCATGTAATTACATACTGCTTATAATGCAGGCGCGCGAAGGGAAATACCGGTTATAGTGCGGTTTGTGGCACAGCCCGCCGACCGCGCCGACGACCGGAGCAGCGAGCTCGCTTCCCTGTGCAACACTATAGATAACAGCGCTGACGGCGCGAGCCGCAAGCTGCACTCGCGGGGCAAGGAGGTTGCTCGAAAACGCGGGGAGAAGCGAAGAGAGAGGCTTCAGTTGCCATAGCGACAGAGGGACGCACGCACGAGTCGTTCACGTGCGTGCGTCTCTCCGCTGCGTTGGAAACAAAGAAACAAACAACCGCAACGACAGACCAATCGCAGGTCGAGGAGAAGTGTTCGCGCGCGTTGCATGCCGATCGCGGGCCGGCTGAGCCGGCTGCTTCTATCTGCAAACATGGCGTCGGTTGTGATCGTCGTCGTAGACGGCGTTCATCTCATCGTTCCGCGTAAAAGCGCTATCCTTGACTTTGAATTTTCGTTGTGTGTCGCTATGATAACCCAGCAGATACTAGAAGGGAAGATCCACCTACTCGTGCTGTGATGTCGTGGCGGCGCTCTCAAGACGGCAGAAACGCCCGTGTCGTCGTGTTTGTTTACTTCGACTACAGTGGTGATTTCTAAGCATTTGTGTCCTCAAACATCGAACGGATTTCTTATTTAGCGCATTTCATGCGTGTGCTCAAGTTCACGGTATTACTGGCGCGTGCCGTATGAAGGATGCGAATTTTCACGCGTTTTCATCTCCGCAGAAAAGTGATTAGGGTTAGCAATCCTGAACGCTCGCAACGTCCGTCCGCAACCCGCGGATTCCACAATTTTGAGGTGTGTCCTAACGGAAGTTGTAGCGAAGACCATGTATGTATATGTGTCGTTATTCTTTGAGTGATCACAATTATCACAGCTACAAGAATAATCTGATCCGGTGCCCTATGGTGTTTCTTTCATATTCACCGAAAAAAAACAGTAAACGTTTTGGGAATAAATACACACCGAAAAAAAATTTTGAAAAAATAAAAACCGAAAACGCGAAACCAGAGTTATATCCAAATGTCTGTTGTAACCAGGTCTGTTGTAATGAGCTTAGACTGTAGCAGGCACGATACGCCTCAAGGCAGGATTTATTAGGCATGAGAGACCCTGCATGAACTGCGCAAGTGGCCAGTGCGATGACAGAAGAGCTTGCCTCGCTTGATGCGCACGGGGCCACTCCCCCAGTGTCCCTCCTGGTTCACTTGCAGTGAGGACTCGGAGCCCGAAAGTCCAGACCATGAGCCCTTGGAGGTCTGAGCAGCAGGCAACTCAGTTTTCTCTGTTAAGGGGAGACACTGCTCTTTAAAAACAAAAACTTTTTTTTTTTCTTTTGAAGATTGCCAGGCATTTATTATTTTGACCTGAAGGATCTTTGTTAAATAAGTCTCTCCCATCTTGAAATATTATCTTGGAAATAAAGTAAAATGGATCTGTGGATGTTTTTTAATACTATTTCTGAGTGAACTATTTACCTACACCCTCTACTATTTCATGGAAGCCATACGTCCACTTGCACATATCTAATCTTTAAAATGCTTCTCTTTCTCGGGTAGGTATATGCGTGATATACGCATAAAGGGGTACAAATATATTAAATAGGGTATCAGGCGTTTTTTAGGTGCTTTTTAGGCATCCTGCAATAAATCATTTTGAAACTGGGAAGTTCAAAAGTCTCCTAAAAAGTTTGTAATGCATCCCAAAGCTTTCACATACCTTTTAGTTCACTGATATATGTTTATTTCATTATTTCAATTCGTCTTAATCCGTTCCATAATATTTGCAAATGAAATTTATGATATTAACAAAATTAGGTTACATCAAAACCAGGTACATAGTATTTGTACAGTCGACCTCAGTTATAGCACACTCAGGTATTTCGATTTACTATTTATATCAAACAGCCCAAACATCCCCTTGAAAATCACATGTAATTCTATAGGAGCATTGGCTTTTTGTATCGAACTCCAAAGGCGGGGTACGCAATATAGCGAACAAAGCCCGGCCCCATTGCTTTTCCCGCGATCCGATTGTGCCAGTGGCGAGCACATCGCTTGCATTGAGGGGCTGGCAGACCGCACACGCCAGCATACAAGCGGTAAGATACGCAACAAGAAAACAGCTGTAAAAAAAAAATGAACTGTAAAAAAAAAAGTGGAGGATGACAAAAGAAAGGGGAAGGGCCCATGCGCACGCTTAGGAAGAGCGAAAGAGTGCTCACCGTTAGAACGGTTGCCTGCGCCCTTTCCCCGAACACTGCCACTGCTGCGTGCATTTCTAACCCCAAAATAAAATGAGCAAAAAAAACAAAAAAAAAGTCTTCGGCAAGTAAGTATGTCGACAACAATGGTTCTGCAATCGCACTTTGAATGCCTTAACTTTGTTTACCTTTTGCCGTTTGTTTGCCGTTATCGCCTCGTCCGTTTTTTCTTTTTCTTTTTTTGCTGCCTGAATTTAGAGCCTTCCTTTTGTTGCTTGCTTAACTTCTTTCATGCATCTCGCTTTCCCATTTTTCTTTTTTTATTATTTTCGTGTTTTGTCGTTCATGCTGTTTGGAGGTCCCGACCAGGCGCCGCAGGTGTAAGGGAGACGGTGTTTGGGGTTTTTGACAACTAAGTTCTACTGTATTTAGTGGCTCTTGGATGCTCTATTTGGAAAGCTCCCGTTTGTCGCGACCTTCGGTATTAACAGATGCCAGGAAATTTCAACATATTTTTGTATATCAAATTATTGATATATCAAACTACCGTAGAATACCGCGCATCCGCCCATTCCACATTAAGCGCCCATTACCAAATTTGTAAGATCGGAGAAAGTATGCATTGTACATTTATATGTAAAATTGATGACCGGACAAGCGCCCATCCCCCATTTTTTTGCGATTATCTCCAAAGTATGAGTGGGCACTTGCCCGGTATTTTACTGTATTTTACTATCCCTTTTGAATTCAATATATCCAAGTTCAACTGTAGCCAGACTGTAATGGAAGATAAGCTAGGTAAATTTAGCTTGAATTGAATCACAATTTATATTAAAAAAAATATCTCTAGAAGCAGTGTTGCCCCTTATAGAAGCAGCAAAACACACCTGCTCTCTGTACCTTGCACAGAAAACCCAAATGGAACATGGGTTCATTCAATGCCGATCAAATTGTTAGAATTTGTATTTGTGTGGGGTCCATTTCGTTTTCTATCGTCGCTACCCTGTCTAACGCAACAAACTTGAGGGGATCCTTTGAATGGAGAAAAACTTGCCTTGCTTGACGCGCACAGGCCCACTCCCCCAGTGGCCCCCCTGGTTTATCAGCAGTGGGGACTTGGAGCCTGAGAGCCCAGACCACGAACCCTCGGAGGTCTGAACAGCAGGCAACTCGGTTTTCTCTGTGAAAGAAGCAGTACAACACATCTGCTCTCTGTACCTTGTACAGAAAACCCAAATGGAACATGGATTTGTTCAATACTGATCAAAACGTTAGAATTCGCATTTGTCCGGGGAATATTTCCTTTCCTATCATCGCTACCCCGTTTTAAAACTGATCAAAACGTTAGAATTCGCATTTGTCCGGGGAATATTTCCTTTCCTATCATCGCTACCCCGTTTTACAAAAAACAAACTCAACCTTTTTTAACCCCGGTAAAGAACAGCTGTGGTGGGCTGAGCAGACAATCCTCGCTGGCGGAACAATGACTCGCATGTACCCCCGCAAGCAATAGGAGATGAAGCACACCAAATGACTTTTTTCTACATCTGCGATCCCAAAAAGCTCTGTTACCTTCCAATCTCTCCAGAGAGTCCGAAGTACAAGACCTCAACTTTGCATTCTATTCCTAGATCGGACCACAGCTCTTTGAAAAACTGTAGTCAATGCAGCACATTGGCATCTTCCTACATTTAGGCGGTGGTTCCACTACCACCACCTCGATGTTGTGTTCAAACATTGAAAACACGCGACGGATATTTTTTCACGACGGCAGGATCGGGTGCAAGCAACGCTCGCACGTTTGCGACCTCCCACGGTATTGGGAGTGCAAGCAGCTGCTGATGCAACGGCAGAATAAGATGGCTACGGACAGAACACAAAGAGAGGAGAAATGTGACAGATGATCACTAGAAAACGACTCTCTAAAGGGAACGAGACAAGGCATGTGCCATATGTGCAGCTACATTCACTGACAAGACGAGAACGTCAGTCAGCTGTCCCGCCTCCAGCACCTGCTTCCCACCTTCGACAACACTTCGACGTCTCCTTAAGGCTCATGTGTGCATGTGCAGCCAAAGCATGGCAAAAGGCTACGAACGCATGCTGGAGGACGGGCCTCCCGATGAGATGCCATGGCATTCTCCCCTTGTAAGCGACCGCAGAAGGATTATTTCTTAGCATCTCTGTAGTGCGTTGAAACAAGCCGAGAGAATATTAGAGCCGCACAGAACCGCAATGACCAGTTAATTTCCACCAGATCTTTTACCGGGGTGCGGCTTCACCATGCTTGCCCGCAGGATACCTACGTGAAAAGCAGTGTCTATTCTCTCGGAGGCCGGGAGAATAATTTTTCTGAAATTATGCCGGCAGTCGCCATCCTTTGGCAGTGGCAATCAGTTTTTCAAACAATGTTTCATATAAAGATTGTTTCATCACCACGAGATGTTTCGTTGACAGATTGCTTCCTCGACAGATTGGTTCATCGACAACTCAAATTAGCTTTTTCCTGTAATAAGCCGCCCCAGATTGTCGCCGTGAAGCAGTGTGTATGGGTGGGCCAGGTGCGTTAACATTTTTTGTAATCAGCCGTTGCAGACCTTTGCCACGAACCAGCGTCATGTGGGCCGAGTAGGTTAACACGCGCGACGAAATGTCCTTACAGTGTGCGATTCATGTAACGAGCGTCGATGAAACGTGCGTTCATTAAGCGCGCATCCACGAAAAGTTGTCCATGAATCGTGTTTCCACGAAATCCCGGGAGAATAAGTCAGGATTCTACCGGCAGTTGTCAAACGATTTCAGACAGCCAATGGCAGGCGACTGCCGGTAGAATTTCGGGAAATTATTCTGCCAGCTGCCAAGAGGCTAGGCACTGCTTAAATTAAAATTCAAGAAAAGCAACGGAAAGAGGCACCCCCTTGACACTAGCAAGCCTCACCAGGACTACATATCTGCTTCCCCTATCTTCCTGCTTTCTCTCAAAGTACGAGAACACAAAGAGCTTTCACAGTATAGTCACTGGCATGATGAGAATGGCACGAAGGCCCGACGGTAGTCCTTCCTCCAGCACCAGATTCCCTCTTTCCAAAACATTTTGGCATCTCGTGAGCTTTGAGCGTGCAGGCAGAGCCAAATGCACAGCGGAAGGCAAAAAGTGTATGCTGGATCCAAGGCATCCAAACGAAACACCTGTAGTGAAACAAGTTATGCGAAAATAAACTTTTGACCGCAAAGCAAATAGGAAGATTAATATTCGGCTGCAAGGTATGCTCAGCTTCAGGATGCATTTATTGATGCGAATAAAGGGATGTGAAGATGAACTTTTGACCGCAAAGCAAATAGGAACATTAAAAGTCAACTGCAAATTTAATTTGACTATTTTCTAGCACAGTCACGTCTCGTTTAATATGGGCCCCATTATTATGGATACCCTGGTATAAGGACACCATTTTCGTGGACAAACTGGGAAAATACGTGCATTTTGGTCTCGTTATTATGGACAATTTGCGGGAACGAAAGTGTCCACATTATTCAGACGTCACTCTACGAATATTTGACATTTAATGCGAATTGACCGTGAACGCTTTAAGAAACTACTGCTGGAAATTCCTTTTAGAACAGCTACGAAAGGGAAGTTTTAATGCACGAGGAAAAAATTTCAACTCAAATAATTCTAGCAGTAGAAGTGCACTGCAAATACAGTCGCCGGCCGATTATTCGGACTTCGCAGGGACCGAAAAAACGCCCGTATAATAGAGCAGTCCGGAAAATCAGCAGATTGAAAAACTTGCCTTTATTACTTTTAAGTGGGCTTAAAAAAATTGCGGTGGCTTCGCTCGGCTATGCCAGGAGATACGTAGCGTGAGATTATGCACACAAAATAAGAGGCGATATCAAGCTGCTTTGGTGCAGCGTCAGACTTGGTTACTGCGCAACGGAGGCGCACAGCTGGGCACGCGGCGGCGCCAGTGCGTCTGCCACGGCTATGACGTCACTCCTCTGGAATGCACAGACCGGTGAGGTGTGCGCGGCGGCGGCGGCTTTGGTGCGCCAGCTGTTCGCCGTGTGACGTCACTGCTCCTCGCGCATGCGCAGCACGGAGCACGGCTCATTATGCGAGCCACGCAAAACTGCTCAACCTCGGCCAGTGTAGCTCACGTTACAAACAAGCCGTAAATAGTGCCTTGCTTCAAGTTACGCCTGCGTGCCTTGTTTTAGGTTACGCCTCCGTTTGCGTTCCGCAACTTTCAGTTAGCTTGAGATTCGCTGCCTCCTTTTCTAGGGTTAAAGTCGAGTACTTTCTGCGCTTCTTAAAGGGCTACTCCGCTCAATTCCGAAAAATTTAGGCTTCCATGTGACTCACATTCACAAAGCACTACTAAACAACTCTACGTCTTCGGATTTGCGAAATGTGGAATATTATTTGTGTAATCCTAATTTAAACATCAGCAGATACCGAAACCGAAACTTCGGTTGCGTCAGGCAACATTAGTCTCGGGTCGTCAGAGTCATGGCACGTCACGTCGAACCACGTGGTCTTGTGACGTTCGGGAGGGAGCGAGAAACAGGACACGCAACGCAGGCAGGTCTTTTTTTTTTTTTTTTTTTTTATTGGACGCGGGCAGGTCGCTTTGCATGGCGTGGACGGTGATGGCCCGGTGGAGAGAGGAAAGGGGAGAAGACGAAAGAGGAGAAGGGGAGCGGAGAAACAGACCGATAAGCGCGCAGGGCAGCGCAAACTAGCGCATCCGCGTTACGGTGATCACGTGGACGCCCGGTCAGCCAACACCGGGAGGAGAAACTCATGGTGTCATCGTTCAATTTTACTCTGAGAAGTAAAAACAAGCAAAACGTGAGAATGACGTACACATGCCTCTGACGTAGTGGTTCAACGTTGGCCGCTCCAACTCCGTGGCATTGACTGCGCTGACGATTCCGCCTCGCGCCGCACGCTAGAGTTGGCAGATTTCGGCGACTTGGCTCGCTTGAAAGTTTGCTGGCCCAGTTTATTAAATATATAAACGGAATTAGATTGTAATATTTGACATGGGGTCTTCCTATATGATACTGAAGAAGGCTACATAGTTTTCTAAATATCAAAAATGAAGCGGAGTTTCCCTTTAATGACACATCACGGCGGCAGAAGAACAGATGGGGCCATGACGTCCAAGCCAGCGTTGTCCGAACGAGACGAGATGGAAATCCACGATCGCAAAATGGCGACTGGCGACGGAGGGATGGAAGGAAACAAAGCAAAATGATAATAATGATGATGATGATGACGTGCAGCTAAATGGAAAAAAAGGGCTAGCATAGCATCACCTAGCGGTAGGATTCAGCAGTACTCAAGTAGCGCTGCCAAACCAAGCCAATCCATTTGCAGCCAATGTAAAATTCAAAATGGCCGCTTCTTGGCGGTATTTTCCGCTGATAGCTCGCGACGATTTTGTCCTAATAATCAAACTTTCGGACTTCAAGCTGTCCGAAACATTGGTCGTGAATATGCCCTATTTCCTGTGGGGTAAGTCACGGCTCCTCCTTCAGGTCCGAGATATCGAACAAGTCCGAATTATCAAAGTCCGAAAAAACGGTCGGCGACTGTAGAATCGAAGAGCAAAAACTATTCAGAAGTTATTTGAAGTTTTCAATATTGACAGACTTCTAGCTTTTACAAGCTCTCACTCAAAACAGTGACAGGGTTACAAGTGTCACGCAGCTGTCATCAGCAGGACTGCATAAGAGGAACAAGTAAGGGCTGCAATTGCAGCAAAACTTGCCTTCCTTCACAACACAGTTGTCGGTCCAGCATCCCTCCAGGCCCAGCTGGGAAGGAGGCATTCTGCCGCAGTCCTCGTAGCAGGAGCTTCCGCCCGTCAAAGAGGGGAGCATCTCGTCCGGCACTGTTGAAGAGAACGGCACAAGAATGCAGCAGACATCACGGGGCAAAAGAGAAGACAACTCCCTTCACCACGAGGCTAGATACAACGAGGAAATATAAAAAATAATGCCGCAGGAGAACCGAAACGTGCAGCCCACAAAATGGCCTTTATGGAAAAGTTAGGCCAGTCTACTGGCCTGGTGACTTTGCTTCGAGGGCGAAAAGTATCTTAGACCCTCCAAAGGTAAAACAAAAAAAAATAATCTAAGGACGTTAGCTCCTGCTAATAATTACTGACTGGACAAAAAGGCTCGAGGTACACCTAAGCACTTCTTATGAGTTGTAAATCCGAAAGCATGTACGTCATCCTACCACTCCCTTATTTCGTCTGCAGCGTATTTGAGTTGACGGCAGAGCGCCGCGCTCCGCCAGCGAGGAGGGGGCGCCTCTCCTCAGAGCAGCGCGCTGACGGACACGCAGCGCCATGGGGTGGCCAGTCAATGAAATTGACGCGCAACAGCCAATGGGAGTTTCGTCGACACGCGCCAGCCAATTGGATTGAAGCCGAAGCTTTGAGATCGGGAAATTTTGGTGCCGTCCCATTGGCTAGCTTTGCGCCGGATTTGATAGCTGGGAGCTGGCTTCACCTGGAGAAAGAATTTAAGGTGCCGTTTGGTGTGAATTCAAAGCTGATGACGTCGGCTCGCTCCATGGGACAGTTAATGCTTTCGCATTAAAAGTTCTTGCTGTGATATTTTCGTGAAAACTGATGTGATGAAGGCCCGATGAGAATGACTGAAACTTAGTGTAGATGTAATGAATTCTAGAACGGTGAAAATTATAGAACTTTGCTTCAGTTCCTCACAAGTCTGGCCACATTGCAGATGTATATCATTTGTTCATTATTTGGAAGCCTTCAATGAAAATGTTACGATGCACAAAAAATAACAAGGGCTAAGAATTAATGAAGAGTAGAATAAAAAAAAACAGTGGCTTAGCTCGGCTATGCCAGGATATACGTAGCATAAGATTAGGTTCAGCTGGTTATTCTCAGCTTCCCTGGTTGTCTAGGATTAGCTTGATTATCATGCTTACTGCTGCTTCAGTGACACACACACGGTATACGCATTATGTGACTACTTCGGGATCCGATGAGTTAAGCTTCTCCGCTCTTCTTATTGCGGAGGAGGCGCCGTGTAACCGAGCTTTCGGTTGCACGTCAAAAGATCCCCAGGGGGTCGAAATTAATCCTCAGTCCTTCGCTGGGGCGTGCCAGATGCCCGTCGCTGGTTTGGCCAGCTGTGTGAAGTGTTGTTATGTATCAAGCAACCAAGCTGCCGCCCAGAACAACCGGACAGCGCGAGCCATAAACTGGAGCGGGTGCATGCGCCCGGCGCGTGCATCGGGGACTGACCTAGGTGCCATACCAGTCCTGCCCGTTCCGTCACTGCTCCTCGCGCATGCGCAGCACGGCTCTCCAGGAGCCACGCAAAACTGCTCAACCTCGGCCAGTGTAGCTTACGCTACAATATTACACGCATGTTCATTGAACCAAACGCAATGAAATGCGGAAGCTTTACAGGGACATTGTTTGCAAAAACCATTAGGAAAGGAAATGGTACAGTGATGAAATGGTTGTGATATGCCGTGCACGCATCGAGAACAACGTCAAGGACGGTGTCGAGGATGACCTCTAGGGCGATCTCAAGGATGCCCTCTAGGATGATGCCGCGGACGTCAAGGACGGCGTCGAGGATGGCATCCTAGAAAACGTCTAGGACGATCCCTGGGATGACCTCAAGGACGACCTCTAGGACGACGTCAAGGACGACCTCTAGGATGACGTCAGGGACGACATCAAGGACGTCAGGTTAGGTCAGGTTCAGCGGCTGAAGCTGACGTGACCTGAACTTGATTACATGACTTTGCACTTCAGCCACGAGCAGTACATGACCTTGAGGACATGACCTTGAGCGTGGTTGGGCCTATAAAGCTACCGCTCTAACACACCTCGTAATGACCTTAGATTGATATATATTTCCACACAAATTACTGAAAAAGACAGCGCCTGATTCTTTTTAACCCCTTAACCGTTTTGGACGAGCCTAGCTCGTCCATCTCGAACCATCCCTAAACCGTTCAGAATGAGTGTAGCTTGTCTGCCCTGCACCGTTCGTCCCTCCGCTGTTTTAGACGTCCCAGGCTCGTTCATGACGCAGCTTGAGATGCTGCCAACAGATGGCAGCACAGGAACGGCAATTTTGCGTCAGTTTTGTTTGTGTTATGTCTTTTTCTTCTTTTGAAGACAAGATCAAAAAATGGCATCCGGTGGTGGTGACACGTTTGGCCCGGGCCCATCCAAAGGGAAAGGAAATGCTTCTTTTGAGGAAGACTTTGATAGCGACATGGATACTGACGTCTACTTGTGTTCTTCAAGTGAAGAAGACAGTGATCACGACGTCGAACTCAGCAGCTCCTGACGAAGCGGAGGACGACGACGATCCAGATTGCGCTATTGCCGATGCTCGGCAGTGGTCGAAAATTGACATGAACAGTGTTCCACCAGTACCCCCTCGGTTCCCTTTTCTCAGCAGCCCGGGTAAGACATTTTTGGTCCAATCAACCACCAACGTGCTTGAGTACTTTGAAGCTCTTCTGGACAACGGCTTGGTCGCGCTGATAGTTAAGGAAACCAACCAACACACTGAGCAAAAACTCAATGCCAGCCAACTCAGCGAGCATTCTCGCCTCAAGAAATGGCTGCCAAGGACAACGGAGGAGATGCGGGTATTCTTGTTGCTCCTGCTGTTGCGAGGAATTGTGCAAAAACCGGAGCAAGAATGGTATTGGTCGAAGAACAAGCTTCTGCACACGCCCATCTTTGGAGAAGTGATTAGCGGTAACTGGTACCAGCTCATCATGAGGATGCTTCACTTCGTGGACAACGAGAGCTCGACCGATCTTGGGACTCATCCACAGCCCAAGCTCTACAAGATATGGCCATCTCTGTCGCGTTTGGTCGAGAGGTACCGCATGGCCTACATACCAGAAGGAGACGTCTCTATCAACAAAAGCCTCATGCTGTTCAAAGGGAGGTTGAATTGGGTGCAGTACCTCCCATTGAAGAAGGCCCGTTTTGGGATAAAATTCTTCATGTAGTGCGAGGCAACATCAGGCTATGTATGGAACAGTATGATCTACACTCGAAAGGGTACAGATCTGAGCACTCTTATTCCAGTTCTTCCTGAATCTGCAATGGGGACAAGGGTGGTGCTGAAGTGGCTGGAGCCACTCCTTGGGAAGGGGTACGGCGTGACCATCGACAATTTCTACACATCACCGGAGCTTGTTGATGCCCTCATCAAGAACTGCACAGATGTGTATGGAACTGTGCGAGCCAACAGGAAGAAGATGCCACCAGAGTTTCGCGCACTTAAGCTGAAGAAGGGTGAAGCGCAAGCCTACCAGCGCGGTAAGTGTGTCGCTCTCCAGTGGCGAGACAAGAAAGTCGTCACCGTAATGAGCACTGTACACAGTGCAGAAAACAGAGTTCTCAGACACAAGAGGACAAGACGTAGTCAAGCCTAGCATCGTGTGGGACTACAACCACACCATGGGGGGGTCGACAAGTGCGACCAAATGCTGGCAAACTACCCGGTGTCAAGGAAACGACAAAAGATCTATTACAAAAAGATATTTCGTCGGCTTGTAGATGAAGCACCATGCAACTCCTTCATTGCGTACGGAGAGAAGATGCTCCTCACTGAGTACCGTCTTGCTCTTGTTGAGAGCATTCTGAACAAGTACCATGAACCCTCAAAGAAGCCAAAGCGCGGACGTCCCTCCAGCCTGCTCGATGATGACCGGCTCACTGGCCGCCACTTCCCAACCTACATCCCACCAACTGAAAAGAAAACCGAGCCAACCCGAAAGTGCATCCTCTGTCGCAAGAAGATGGACCAAAATGGAAAGAAGCTGAGGAAGGAGACAAGGTTTTGGTGCAGCAAGTGCGAGAAAGCTCTATTTCCGTGTTTCGAGCTGTATCACATGCTCGCAAGTTGCCTCAGGGGCCCAGACAACCTTCCTTTCCAACCCGGGTATTTTCTTCTTTTTAGAGCGCAGCTCCTAGGCGCCCGTTCCCGGCTTGAGCGGCGTCGGCGTCGCCGTCGGCATAACCGAGCGGTGCATTATGGGTAAATTTCCCCGCTAAATCGAGCTGAAAAATTTTACCGCTAAATCGAGTTGAAAAATTTTACCGCTAAATCTAGCGAAAAACTTTCCCCGCTAAATCTAGCACAGAAATTTTCCCGCTAAATTTAGCGGAAAAATTCTCCCACTAAATCTAGCGGAAAAATTTCCCCGCTAAATCTAGCGGAAAAATTTCCCCGCTAAATCAAGCGGAGAAATTTTCCCCGCTAAATCTAGCGGAAAAATTCCCCCCGCTAAATCTAGCGGAATAGTTTCCCCGCTAAATCTAGCGGAAAAATTTCCCTGCTAAATCTAGCGGAAAAATTTCCCCGCTAAATCTAGCGGAAAAATTTCCCCGCTTAATCTAGCGGAAAAATTTCCCCGCTATATCTAGCGAAAAAATTTCCCCGCTAAATCTAGCGGAAAAATTTCCCTGCTAAATCTAGCGGAAAAATTTCCCCGTTAAATCTAGCGGAAAATTTCCCCACTAAATCTAGCGGAAAAATTTTCTCCCTAAATCTAGCGGTAAATTTCCCCGCTAAATTTAGCGGAAAAATTTCCCCGCTAAATCTAGTGGAAAAATTTCCGTGCTAAATCTAGCGGAGAAATTTCGGTCACGTGACCTGGGGAGTCACGTAACCCCCAGGTCACGTGACACGCTCAGGTCACGTGACCCCCTCCCGAGGTCACGTGCCCTCGGGGGGGGGGGGGGGTCACGTGACCCTTTCCCCTATGTCACGTGAGCCCCCCAAGAAACTGTGGCCCTCAGTACCCTTCCCTCCTCCTTCTCAAGAGCTGCGCTTTCACTTTTTTTTTTTTAGTATGAGTTAGTTTTTGTCCCAAAAACAAAGCAATTACAATCGACTTCAATAAAATGTTTCTGTTTGCTCTGGTCGCTCAGTCATAACAGGGCTTTATGCGTGGAGTAACTGTAATCATAAGATTAGAAGATAAAAAAAAAAGAAACAGTTTAGGGTTAAAAATTCCCGAAAAATGAGAAACGGTTAAGGGGTTAAGCGTTATTAAATTTGTAAAGATAAACTGCACTTACTTTCACTTTATGAAGGTTCAATGAAAGTTCCTCCTAGATCTGTGCTAGGTACATTAGTAGCATTTTTTCACGATTTCAAGGCCGTGGTGTTGATTTCCTAAGCACAGAACACCCAGCTTGCATGTTTCCAAGGAAATGAATATTACAATACTACACGAATTTGTGCCACTTATGTCAACAAACAGAGGATTATAAAAATGCAACCCATTAAAATTTTGACGAAATTGGGGGAAAGTTTTTGTCCGAGTCAAACATCAAAATGCTAGATGGTGGCCAATCCCGAGAGCATGTCGTCTGTTTCTTTCACAGGAGTTACGGTGATGCTAGAATGATGCCAAGCTCTGATTGGCTTTGATTGAAATAATAGTGGGTAGACCTCAATGCTAGATTCCTTGAGGTCTACCCACTACTTTTTTTTGCAACCAGCCAATAAGAGCTCTGCGTGTTGACATCGCAGCCCCTGTGGAAGAAGCAGATGAACTTTCGCTAAGTAATAAACAAATGTTTGTGTACAAATAAAAATACCATATTTACTAGCATAATGAACACACATTTTTTTCCCAAAAAGTTCACATATTTGGGGGGTGCATTCATTATGCGGGGTAAAATCTTTGCATTTACACTCTATGCGCAAATGCCATTTTAGGTGCCACTATGACAAAGAAGGGTAATGTGGCACGTCTCCACTGATGGAGGTGTGCCTATGGCTTGTCGTGGGTGCACCACAGTAATCATGCTCTATAAATTGCTAACTTTTTTAGGGTGCTTTCGGCGTGCCTTTTGTCGAAGAAAAAGCGCCCTACGAAGCTCACTCAGCACGGAGAGCGACGCGACCATTCTTAGGCCTAACAACTTGCACGATATCACTGTTCAAAAGCGGATCACAGACAATGGCGTGTTTGTTGACATCAATGCATTTGATGGACAAAGTCCGTCCGAGGCTGGGCAATTCCTTGACTTCAGCTTGGCTAGGCAAGCACGGAGCTAGGTTTCACGGTTGATCACTTCAGCAAGTACGCACTTGCGGCCATTACGAGAGTGGCTTGGCTTGGCCTGACTTGGCCGGGCCGCTTGGCGGCAAAAAAAAAATTGGCAGGCTTGGTGGCTAGCCGGCTAGCTAAGTTGGATGCAATTCAAGACTCGCGGAGCTTAAAATTAAAAGTGTGTTCATTACGCGAGAAAAAAGAAAAAGTCAAAATATTGATGGCCGTTGTGGGGGGTGCGTTCATTATGCGAGTGTGATCATTATGGGAGTAAATACGGTACTTGTCATGAGGCAAAAATTCACATCAACAATCATAGTAAAGTACAGGGGCTTGCCTTCTCTTGGGCACAGAGGAGTGTCTTTCCAGTGTTGCTTCAGCTGCACCGGAGAAGGCAATGCGGAGCCGAGAGCACCGGAGTCCCAGCCCTCGTCAATCCGAAGAGCAGCAAACTCGTTCGGGTCTGTCGAAATAGAAACAGGAGACATCAGCCCCTTATCTCCCAAAAATGTTTTTCATCTTTTCGCCTTTCAGATGCTTCTTTTTATGTCCGCATCCGCGCTTCGAGTTTCTTCGTCAAACTGGAATCAAAACGCATCGTGCCAGGACCGTGAAAATGACACTACGATTACTGACAAGCCGAGAACAGCAGGGAGGAGCTTCGAATAAGGGATGTGGTTGCTAATAAAGAACGAGCCTCACAGACAGTTCAGTAAGTGTTACAAGCAAAGACAAAGCTGAAGATAATGATCATTGAAAATGAAGCTTCAGCTTTTCTTTTTCAAGGGCGGCTCCAGCTCGGGGCTTTTCGGTTTTCCCCGATTTTGATGAAACCGGCTCAGGGCTACCTTTCAAGGTTTATCGATATACATTGAAAGTATGAAACTCTAGCCGCAAGCGGGTCCGACTGCATTCTAACACCCACATTGATGTCCCCGAAGCTGACCAGAAAATGTGCAAGCAGTGTACCGCAAGCCGGACGTGGAAAGCTTGGCGTCCTAATGTAATCCCACATTAACCCCACTGCAAATCCCCACATTCATTTCTGCTTCAAATTGAGGTGGATTGGCACTGCCCGCGTAATCTATGGGGTAGGGCCAAAGGAGCAACTTGCCCTCCTTCAGGACAATAGCGGCCCTCTGGACTTCGTTAGGGGGCTCGGGGGAAGTGCACGGGCCGCAAGTGTCCTCCCAATCCGAGGCCTCGCGGGGTGAAGCGGCGGGTGTATCCTCTGGCTCTGTGGAAGGGAACGTGCGAATTATACGTTTGACAGGTTTTCAACCTTGGCTTTGCACTCCGACTGACCCGCTCAAGTACTCTTGGGTCTATATCCATCGTCGACAGAGCCACTCGCTATGCTGCCGTGTTTCACCAGCACCAAAAACAATGCCAAAGTCTGAGCATTTGCAAGTAAGAAGATCCAGAATGTGGCAGATGCTGTTCATTGACATGGCGAAATCAGGCTTACCGGGGGAAAAAGAGGTTTGTGAAACCACCCCGTCAGTAAGTCCGCCCTTAGTTATAAATAGGACTCCGTGTTTTCGGAGTTTATTTTTCATCAAATTTGGAGGGTGTTTTTCCAAGTTTATTTTTTTCCGAAAATTCAGTGTTTATAAAAGTTAATTTTTGTTTGATTCTAAAATCTTCGAAATTTGGAGCTTAATTTCGCAGTGTTTTTTTATGAAAAAGAAAAAAATAATATCCGGGTGTATACGTAAACTAGACAAGGAAAAATAAAACGTGCCTATATCAAATAATATTTCTTCAGCTGGGTTTGGTGTTGGTGCCATTGCCATTGGCAATACTAATTTGTCCCACGGCAAAAGTTGCACACATCTGTGGCTTAAACGCCGACACCTTAAAAATAAACTCTTGGAGGTAGTCGCTGGGAAGCACGTATTCATCCCATCCTATTCCATGCTACCCCGCAGCCGCCCGAGTTGGAGTGGTAAAGGATGTAATAGGGAAGTTTCAACTGCCCCTCTTCCAATTTCATGCAATCTCTAGGATCTATATATAGCTTTAGCTGTTACAAAAACACAACCTCTCTTGCTCTTAAAACACAAACAGTATGGCCCAAACTGAAAACCAATACAGGGGTTTTTGTCGTGACCCGAATGGTCAATGACATGTCGTTCTGAACCTTGACGAGATGATCGGTGAGGCCCCTTTTTGTCAATGAACCGAGATTCGAAAGATAACTGTGGTGGCATTTTCCCGGGACCATTAACCCTTTGCGCTGATCAAACTTAATTATAAAATACCGTCTTTATTCAATTTATTGGAAGGGAGGGGGGGGGGGCATTAGCACATCAAAATTCAGTTTATGGATAAATCTGAATTGATGAAAATTTTACTGGCGGGTGTTTTTCTGAGTTTTACAGATTTATCCGAAAAACTATGAAAAATAGGACTTCGCGTTTTCAGATTTATCTGAAAACACAGAGCCCCAGTTATAAAGGTAGCCGACCGTGCACAAGCAGTCGGAAGAAGACAACAACATACTAAACACTATGACAGAGCAGCTGCCAGATCGGAGGCATTCGAAAGCATTCGGAAGCGTCATGTCCTTTTCTCTTTTGACTAGCCGGCACGATACACTTCAAGCCAGGATTTATGAGGCACGAAGGACCCTGTATGAACTGCACAAGTGGCCATTGCAATGATGGAAGAGCTTGCCTCGCTTGATGCACACGGGGCCGCTCCCCCAGTGTTCCTCCTGGTTCACTCGCCGGGGGGACTTGGAGCCCGAGAGTCCAGACCATGAGCTCTCGGAGGTCTGAACAGCAGGAAACTCGGTTTTCTCTGTGAAGGAACCAGTACAACACATCTGCTCTCTGTACCTTGCACAGAAGGCTTAAATGGAACATGGGTTCGTTCAACCCCGATTAAAGCGTTTAAATCTGTATTTGTCCAGGGTATATTTCCTTTCCTATCGCCGCCACCCTGTCTCACAAAACAAACTCAACCTTCTTTAACCCTGGTAGAAGAACAAGCTGTGATGGACTGAGAAGACAATCTACACTGGTGGAACAATGACTCGCATGTACCCCTGCAAACAATATGAGCTGAAACACCTAAAGGTGACCTTTTCCTACGTCTGCGGTCCCGGCAAGCTCTATTACCTCTCAATTGCACCAGAACGTCCGAAGTGTGGGATCTCAACTTCACATTCTACTCCTAGATCAAACCACAGCCCTTTCAAAACCTGATAGGCACGCCGACGAAGCACGAAGGGCTGTTTCGGCTAATGTTGTTCACAACGGCACATCTGATAACATAAAGCAGACGTGAATGAGGAACAATTATTCTCGACTGGTAACTATAGTCGGCGACAGGTTAAGGACTCGGGGGAAGCTCCTCCCACCTCTTTCCAGTTCAGTAGAGAAACGCGGGAGGCAGTTGCCTCTTCTCCAGCATTTGCTCTGCTAAAGTGCTAAGAGGCAGAGGGAGCTTCCCCTGAACTTCTAACCTGTCACCGACTGCAGAGCTAATCAGTAGTCAAAGCAACAGGTCAGCACATTCCTACACTGGAGCCGGTGGTTCTGCTACTACCACATCGATGTTGTGCTCAAACGTTGAAAACACGTGACGGATAATTTTTCACGACGGCAGGCTCAGGTGCAAGCAGCACCTTCCACGTTTGCAACCTCCCACGGTGCTGGGATTTAGCAGCCGCTAAAACAATGGCAGAATAAGATGGCTACGGGCAGAACACGAAAAGCGGAGAAGTGTGGCAGATGATCGTCTGAAAATGACTTTCTAAAGAAAATGAGACAAGGCATATGCCATGGACACAACTATATTCACTGACAAGACGAGAATGGCAGGGAGGAGCTTCAGTTGTCTTGCCTCCAGCGCCAGCTTCCCACCTTCGATGACGCTTCGACGTCTCCTTGAGGCTCGCATGTGCACGCGCAGCGAGAGCATGCCGACAGGCTATGAACGCATGTTGGAGGATGGGCGTTTCAAAGAGACGCCATGACGTTCTTCCTCGTCGGCGACTACAGAAGGATCCTTTCTTAGCATCTCCCTAGTGTGTTGAAACAAGCCGATACAATATTAGAGCCGAACGAAACTGCAATGACCCGCGAGTCTCCAGCAGATCTTTGACCGAGGCTGCAGCTCCACCGAGCTTGCCTGCGAGATAAATTAAAATTTAAGAAAGGCAACAAAAAGAGATGCCTCCCTGGCACCAGCGTCCTCCACCACGACTATGTATCAACTTCCCCAACCTTCCTGCTTACCCTCAAAGCACGAGAACACAAAGAGCTTTTACCGTATAGTCACTGAAAGAATGAGAATGGCACGAAGGTCCTTCGGTAGTCCTGCCTCCAGCACGAGATTCCTACTTTCCAAAACACTTAGGCATATCCGGAGATTTGTGCGTGCACGCGCAGTCAAACACACAACGAAAGGAAAGAGTCCGCACGAGATGCTAGGCATCCAAAAAAAAATGAAAGCCGCTTTCAACTCCCTGTAACGCCGAATTGGAGCGCAGCTCTTGAGGAGGAGGAGGGGAGGGTACTGAGGGCCACGTGTTCTCGGGGGGGGGGGGGGGGGGGGGGGGGGGGGGGTCACGTGACCTCGGGGGTCATGTGCCCCCTCAGAGGTCACGTGACCTCGGGAGGGGGTCACGTGACTCCCCAGGTCACGTGACCCCCGGGTCACGTGACCAAAATTTTTCCGCTAGATTTAGCGGGGAAATTTTTTCCGCTAGATTTAGCGGGGAAAGTTTTCCGCTAGATTTAGCGGGGGAAATTTTTTCCGCTAGATTTAGCGGGGGAAATTTTTTCCGCTAGATTTAGCGGGGAAATTTTTCCGCTAGATTTAGCGGGGAAATTTTTTCCGCTAGATTTAGCGGGGAAAGTTTTCCGCTAGATTTAGCGGGGAAATTTTTTTCGCTACATTTAGCGGGGAACTTTTTTCCGCTAGGATTTAGCGGGGAAAGTTTTCCGCTAGATTTAGCGGGAAAATTTTTTCCGCTACATTTAGCGGGGAAATTTTTTCCGCTAGGATTTAGCGGGGAAAGTTTTCCGCTAGATTTAGCGGGAAAATTTTTTCCGCTAGATTTGACGGGGAAACTTTCCCGCTAGATTTAGCGGGGAAATTTTTCCGCTAGATTTAGCGGGGAAATTTTTTCCGCTAGATTTAGCGGGGAAAGTTTTCCGCTAGATTTGACGGGGAAATTTTTCCGCTAGATTTAGCGGGGAAATTTTTTCCGCTAGATTTAGCGGGGAAATTTTTTCCGCTAGGTTTAGCGGGGAAATTTTTCCGCTAGATTTAGCGGGGAAATTTTTTCCGCTAGATTTAGCGGGGAAATTTACCCATAATGCACCGCGCGGTTACGGCGACGGCGACGCCGACGGCGACGGCGACGCCGCTCAAGCCGGGAACGGGCCCCTAAGAGCTGCGCTCTAAAACATCCGGGGTGAAAAAACATGTCTATGTGAAAAGAAACTTTCCAATGCGAAGCAAATATGAGTATGAAAATTTGACTGCAAATTGAATTCAAATAACTGTCTGGTACAAATATTTCACATTTAATGTGAATTGAACGTGGACACTTTAAGATTGAGCAATGTGGTGAGTTGGGCCAGTTGGTATTGAGACAAGATGAAAAACAGTGCACAAAGGACGGGACAAGAAAGACGCACAAAGAGTCGGCATTTGCGTGTTCTATTTGTGTCCCTTCCTTGTCCTGTCCTTTGTGTGCCATTTTTCATCCCACTGTAAGAAAATATCGCTGCAAATATTTTCTAGAATGCCTACGAAACACGAAGAAAAATATTTCAACTCAAATAATTCCAACAGTAAAAGCGCATGGCAAATAGAATCGAAGAGCAAATGCTATTCGAAAGTTTGAAGTTTTCAATATTTACAGACCTCTAGATTTTACTGAGCCCCACTCAAGATAGTGACAGGGTTACATGTGTCACGCAGCTGTCATCAGCAGGACTGCAGAAGGGGGAACAAGTAGGGGCTGCAATTGCAGTCAAACTTGCCTTCCTTCACAATAGAGTTGTTGCTCCAGCATCCCTCCAGGCCCAGCTGGGAAGGAGGCATTCTGCTGCAGTCCTCGTAGCGGGAGCTTCCGACCGTCAAAGAGGGCAATATCTCGTCCGGCACTGTTGGAGAGAAAGGCAAACGAATGTAGTATACATCACGAGACAAAAAAAGGGGCGTCTCCCTTCACCCCAAGGCTATATACAGCAAGGAAACATAAAATATAATGCCGCAGGAGAACCGACATCTGCAATTGACAAAGTGGCCTTTGTGAAAAAGTTGAGTCCATCTGCTGGCCTGGTGACTTTGCTTCGACCGAGACAAACATCTTAATCGGTCCAAAAATTTAAAAAAAAAAATCACCTAGGGATGTTAGCTTTTGCTAATAATTACTGACTGAACAGAAAGTTCTTGTTGTGATATTTTAGTGAAAATTAATGCGATGATGGCCAGATGAGAATAACTAAAACTTATTGTAGACAATGTAATGAATTCTAGAAAGGTGAAAATTATACCACTTTATTTCAGCTCTTCATAAGCCTGGCCCAGTTAGAGTTATATATTGTTTGTTCATAATTTGAAATCCTTCAATAAAACACCAAATATTGACTTTACATTAATTCAGAATTCCACACAAATTACTGAAAAAGTCAGCTTCCAACTTCGAAAGTGTTATTGAATTTCTGGACATAAAGGGCACTTATTTTCACTTCATAAAGGTTCCATGAAAGGGCTTCCCATATATCTGTTCTAGGTCTATTAGTAGCACGTTTTCACCATTTCAATGCCCTGGCTAAGCTCCTAAGCACAGAACACCCAGCGTGCATGTCTCCAAAAAACTGGATATTATTTCTCACCAAAATTACCTTCAGTGGAACAAGGTATGTTCAACTCTAAACTGAATAATGTCGAAGCTTAATGTTGCAGTTGGATAATCTTAATAAAAACTATGACAAAACTGTTCCTTTTTGTCTGTCTAATAAGTTTAAACTAAAATTTTATCATGAAATCGAAAGTGGATCGATCTCCGAAATCACAGACTCTGAACTTCTCAAAACAACAGACAGACATTGGGCGTGACTGGTGAAAGTTAGAGTGTGTGAAAGTCCACCTCATGCCAATCGTTCATGCGGTCAATCCGCCAAATACAAAGCATTATTCTCGAGAATAATAATTCTCGAATGTTATCATGCTCGGGGTGTTTGGGGGGGTGAAACTTAAATTAGTTCTCCCACGGTTTAAAGAAAAAGGATTCTGTTCCATACAATTTGCGTCATAAGTTTTATAACAAATAAACTATTAACCAATAAAAAAAACATTTTTTTTTTATTGCACGTTTGCCAAAACTTTAAAAGGGAGACAAGAAATTATTCCAGCCTTCCCACCCAACGATATAAATCACTCCACCAAAGATAGCAGGGGCACAGGAGCTTGCCTTCAATCACAGGCAGAGGACAGTCGCTCCAGTGTCCCTCCAGGGGAACTTGATTTGTCGCTAGGGGGTCCAAGGCCGCGGAATATGAGCCCTCATCTTCAATGTGAAGGGCGGCTAACTCATCAGGCTCTGCAAAGGAAGAAGCACGAGGCATCTGCTAGTCAAGCGCAAATAGTGCATTTCGAGTTTGAAACGAATTCAAAGCGAATAGTGGTTTTGGCCGAATATCGCCTAATCTAATAGCTTCTCCAAGCCTTTCACTGCCGTTGCACCATACATAAACGAAAGCCCAGCTGAACTCATAAACTCTGTTCCAAAGCCGCTTGTCCATTTCTGAGCTAAGTTAATTTTAATCTATATATTTATGGATTGTGTCCTCAAGACGTCCAATCCATAAATTGTGTTGGCAAGAAAATGACGGATTTTACATAAAATTAAACGTAGAGCAATTAGGGTTGATAATTGGGCCAACTGATAATCCATGACAGCAAATTCAGCACAAAATATCAGAAGAAGAAAGGGACACAAACATACAGAGACGCCCAGCTATACGAAGAGATTTACAGTGGTCTCGTGATAAGTCAAACTCTAATATTTCGTACTTCCAATTAATTCAAATAAATTTTAAAATGCTGGTTGTCAAGCTATGTTTTCAATTTATAACCCGCTTAATTCAAGCAGTGTTTTCGCTCAATTCATACTATTTGTTCATCATGGCAGGTGAGCCCCATTGAGTGCACTTCTCACCGAGCACCTTTGTACTGCAGGAAAGCAACACCGACCAAGCTTGCGGTCATTGCTTTTCTGGGGTATGCGGGTGCTAGGTAAAAAGCGCACTCGATGGGACTAACCCACCACGATTATGCAAGCGGAACTTTCATGACAATCTGCTTTCATTATAATAGGGGGGAACAGCGCAGGAAAAACCGACGAAGGACGAGTAGAAGAAGTGCACAGACACAGCGCTGACTAACAACTGAATGTTTATTTTCAAGCGAACCAGAAAGTAAACACTGGGTGTGGAGAGGAAAAAACACAGAAGCCAAAAATCCCACCTATTAAGATGCTTAATCAACTCGCCCAACTCTCTGCCGTGTTGAACCTCATTTCTTGTACATCGGGCCCTTTTTTGTGTGCTCCTATCGTAACCCATCAAGACGTTTTCTACATTAACGCCATCGCATCAGCAGTCTGCAAAGCCCATCACTACGGGTACGCAGCCAGAAAAGGTACGTCCCCCCCGGAAGTCGTCACCCTTTTCGGTATGGTGAATCCGTCCACCGGACATGCAAAACGGGTGTGCAAGATCCTTCGTTCGGAGTCGTGGAGACAAGTCAGACTACTACAGGAAGGTTTAAAAGTCTGGTGCTATCGGACTTCTGTGGATGCGGGCGCAGCAGAAAGGAAGTTCCGAGCGTGCAAGCGAGAGGTTGTGCAGGTGACAGATTTTCTGTGGGAGCGGCTGCGCGCCTCGTTCCCTAAGAAGTGTCAAGGTCAGCCGGGAGTCAAGGGCAACGTGGTCTTCATGGGAGGTGCGTCGGCTCCGGCAGAAGTGACGGACATTTTGGAAAAGGGTCCCAAATTCGCCACGGAACCGTCGGTCGGGCCTTCGGAAATGCTGGCCCTGGTTCGGCAGGTATCTGCGAAATCGTCAGAGGAAAACAGGGACCGGTGTGTTCATGAATGTGTGGAAGGGTTGACCAAAGGGGTAGGCCGAAGGCCTTTGCCCAGGCTCAAGATGGGAACGGTGGTAAATTTTTTTAATGAGTCTAAGTTGAAGCTGTTGTTGTCGGATAAAGAGGGGGGGTTTGTTGTGGTGCCTGAAGGTATGTTTCAGGAAAGAGCGAGACAGGCGGTGCTTAAGAATTTCAGAAGTGTGTCGGGAGTGGAGCTGAAGAGGGTAAAGGCCAGGGCAGTGAGGCTTTGCGGTCAGCTTGGGTTGGAGGGCCTCGGGAAGTCTGTGTCGGGGGCCAAGGGCCTATCTCGAGGTGTTCTTCTCCGTGAAGACCCATAAGGAGCTCAGGCCTTTTAGAGCTATCGTTACCCAGAGAGACTCCTGGCAGCTTCATGTATCTTCTTTTCTTCAGCGCCACCTGTGTGTGCTCACGTTGGATGATCCTTTTCGTATTTGCAATTCTGAGGCCCTTGTGGATTACCTCCGAGAAGACAATCCGGGAGGGTGTGATTTAGTGTCTCTGGATGTCGAGGATATGTTCTACTCAATACCCCATGGTGAATTGATGAAAGCGGTGGAAGAGTGCATTCAGTCCAGTGGGTCGGTGGCTTTTATGAACTCGACGGGTTTGGCGGTGGAATCTTTTTTGGAGTTGTTGACTTTTTACTTGAGTTCCACCTATATCACGTTTGAAGGCGAAATTTTCCTGCAAAAGAGTGGGATTTGTATTGGGTCGAGTGTGGCGCCTATCCTTAGTGATTTATATCTGGCGAGGTGTGATAGAGCCATAGCGGAGTCGTTGGATTGTCGGGTTTTGAGAGTTTTTCGGTATGTTGACGACTACCTTGTTGTGTTTAAAGATAGCCTGGGCCCCAACCGGGATAGTGTGTGTGTGGAAGTCTTGGCTTCCTTTAAGGAATGCTCCCCCGGGTTATCGTTTAAGTACGAGACACCTACGGGAGAGGGGTTGCAGTTTTTGGACCTGAGGCTCACTCTTCAGCCGTCACACACCTGTTGGGCCTATGAGCCACGCTCTAAGAAGAGGCTTTTGCCATACGGCTCCGCGCACTCAAAGCTTGTGAAGCGTGCGATCACTACGTCGGGTATGCTCGCCCCTTTGCTCAAGTCATGCCACCATAGGTGTGAGGACAGCCTGCTTTCACAGGTGTCTAGGCTGACCTCTGCGGGATACCCGGTGGCGATGATTTTGGGAGTGGCTGAGTCCCTTGTTAAGGTGTTCGGAGGTAGAACCAGTCCTAAGGCTAGGCAAAAACCGACAACCAGACCAGTGGTGGTGCCCTACATTCACGCCCTCTCACATCAAGTCAAGCGCGTGGCCAACAAGTATAAGGTGCCTGTGGTGTTTTCGGCGCCCCGGAAGTTATCTCGACTATGCTCCGCCGTTAACCGAGGGTTGAACAGGGATAACCACTGTGATGTTAAACACCGCGATCCGTTTGTCTCATGCGCAGTAGGGGTTGTATACCAGATCCCCTTCACATGTGATCGGGTTTACATTGGACAGACAGGGAGGTGTGTGAACGTGAGGGCGAGGGAGCATTCCCTTGCTCTCCGTTCCTCACCCTCTGGCCACCTTGCGGTACATTGTAGTAGGTGCGGCTGCGTTCCCCTGTTCAATGAGTTGACGATCTTGGCGCGCAACAAAAACAAGACTGCCCGGGAGATTGATGAGGCCTTTTATATTTTATCAAGGGGGGAGGAAGAATGCGTCAGTGCTCCGTCGGTTAACTTGGGGGCTGACGAAGTGTTTTTTATCAAGAACTGTGGCAGACGTGTGTGAAAGTGATTGGCGTGGTAGTGTCTTGTTTTATCGGGTTCCCTCCTTTTTTGTTCTGTGTCTTCTGTGTTTTTTCCTCTCCACACCCAGTGTTTACTTTCTGGTTCGCTTGAAAATAAACATTCAGTTGTTAGTCAGCGCTGTGTCTGTGCACTTCTTCTACTCGTCCTTCGTCGGTTTTTCCTGCGCTGTTCCCACCTATTAAGATGCTTAACCAACTCGCCCAACTCTCTGCCCTGCTTTCATTATTCATGATTGTTTGTTTTATTTTTTGAGGGGGTTAAAGGCCAGACTAAAGAAATAATATTTGCATATAGCAAGCAGATTTCTAAATTCCCTCGATCAGGTTAGCTGAGCGTATCTTTAGGTTTAAATTTATGTCAAATCTGTGATTCACATGCCACTTCAACATACACATCGGACTTTCTGAGGCCACGGTTCATTAATATAGTCATATTAAAACTAACTAAGCTTAGAAGTGAACAAGTGGAAGGTTGGGAACAACTTTCACAAGTTCAGCTGAATTTTAGTTTAAGCATGGCACAATGGTAGTAAAAGGCTTGGAGAAACTATTCGATATTTGATTAGAAAATGTTCGTTCAAAACCACAATTCGCTTCAAGCTTTACTAATGTTTTATGCGTGTGCCTGCTTATAAGTAGGTCTGTGTATTGGAAAGTGTACAAAATCTGCCTGGTATGTGTAGCTATTCCTATAGCAAATCACTACTTTGCCTCACATCATATTTAGATAAATTTCTGATAATTCGAACTTCTTATATTTCAAACTAAAGTCTGTGGCTTCCTGAACTTCAAATTCATGAGAGTCGACTGTATAAATCTTGCCATATGCAAATATAGTTTCTTCAAAATAAAAAAAAAAAGAAAGAACTTTCAGCCTTTCCACTCTGGTGAAGACCAGCGAAGCTCTACTATGGTAGGACGACCTCAAGGATGACTTCTTGGACAACCTCAAGGATGACTTCTTGAACGACCTCAAGGACGACGCCTAGAGGACAACGTCTAGGATGACCTCAAGGACGACGTCTAGGACGACTTCTAGGACGACCTCAGGAACTATGTCTAGTACGACCTCAAGGACAACCTCAGGGACGACGTATAGGACGACTTCAAGGACGACCTCAAGGATGACCTCTAGAATGACCTCAAGGATGACTTCTAAAACGAAATCGAGGACTACCTCTCGGACAACCTCAAGGACGACCTCTAGGACGACACCTAGGATGACGCCTAGAAAAATTCAGCCTTTCCACTCTGGTGAAAACCAGAGTGAAAAGGCTGAAAAAGTTGCCACCATCTATGAGCGAAGTCGACAAGCCGGTTGTCTGGTTGCCACCGTCACTTATGGATGGCAGTAGCTGTCCAAAGTTTTGTGTCGACATTTGTTTGGTACCGGACATGATCCTGGGGAACCTAGCCCTTAACAGCTCCGCTGTAAAAAAGAATCTTAAATGATGAGCACAGGCTGTCAAGGCACCTGCGCCTAACATGTAGACCTTTTCACCTTTCGTCACATAGGTGCTGCCGTCTAGGAATCACGTGACGCACCCGCCATAAGGTGGCTTCAAATTGTCGCTTCTCTCTCCCCTCTGCACATTGGCGAAGGCATTGCATTTGTTTTTTTCGTTGCATTTACC